ATTAAAAATAACATTATATGTATAGATTACTTTTGCTAGCAGTAGTATTTATACACAGTAGATGTTTAATAATTAGTACTTAACTAGATATCTAATCTACACCTTTAGGTCTAGCCTCTGTAGCTTAGATTTATTCTAATGTGTGTTATTAGTTATTATAAATGCTTTATAGCTATAAGCTTTTAAATGTGTAAAGCTTAGCTTTTAAATTAATATAATAACTTTATTATTTAAAGCTACTTATGTAAAGAAGATCTTATATAATGTCTTTTAGTTATTAGCATAGTTTAGCGTTTAATTGTATAGGTATACACTAGCTCTAGTAATGTATAGCTATATGTTCTATAGTAGGTTAGCATCTAGTTGCATAGCTTATAACTTTTTCTTATTTACACTTTTTAAGCATTTAGCTTCTTTGTTCTAGGCTTATATATCTAGTGCTAAAGGCTTAATAGTTATTTTATGTAATGTTAGCTAGCATTTTACCTCTAGTTTTACTATTATAATCTTATTATTAGCTTTAATAACTTTTACACTAATATTATAATAGTTTTTTAAAAAAAATAAAGATTATAAAAGCTTTAATAATTAATTTAGTAGGCTTATTATTTTTAAAGTAAAAGTCTTACTAAAGGCTAAAATACTTATTAGTAATTAGCATTTAACTTTGCTTTTTTATAATGCTCTATGCTTTATATGCATAGAAATTAATTAATAGTTTTTTACTAGGTCTACTATTACTAATTTATAGTGTACAGCTAATTTATTATTATATCTTAGCTTTACTATATAAGTTATATTAAACTGTTGTAATTTTTTTAATTTACACCCCCTTAGCTTACTATATAAAGTGTTAAAGTGTAGCTAGTCTAGGGTGTCTAAGACACTTATGCTATAGCTTTATAAATGCTTTTTATAGACTATGTTTAGTTCTTATGTTAATTATGTGTGTATAATATAAGCTCTTTTATAGTAGATAGTACTTTAACACTTATTAGCTATAGATCTTTATAAAATCTTTAATTATTATTTTATTTAAAGCCTTTAAAGTAGTTAGCTCTACTTATATGTCCTACTAGATTTCTTTTTATTATAGTAGGCAGAACAAGACTAGGTTGCACAGCAGGTCTAGGCACAGTGCAGTGTTATGTAGTATAAGACTATATGCTTAACTATGTGTTTTATGCTTACTTTTTAAGCTTAGTGTAATTAATTTATAGCTTTAAATTTATATATAAGAGTTTTTAAACTAAATAAAGTTTTCTAGTATTAGTAAATAATAGTTATAAATTTAATTAAAATTATTTATAATATAGCATGTTAAGCTTAAGTTAAGGATAAATAATTTTTTTAGTAAATATTTATTCTAGTTTAAATTAACTATAGCTAGCAATATAGCTGCTTTAACTTTTAATACTTTTTAGCTTTTAAGTTAGTCTTCTTATATCTTTAGCATAGGTGTATATAAACTTTTTAGAATTAGTATTTTTAAATTATGTCTACACTGCTTTTTTAGTAGGCCTTAAAATTCTAAGTTATGCTTATGCTTTAATGCTATAAGCTTTTTAACTTTTTTATTTAGCATCTACTAGTCTAGTGCTTTGTCTAAATAGACATAGAAGTAGTTCTTTAATACATAGATATGTCTACATGTAGGATATTTAGTGCCTTCTGTTTTAGTAAGTTTCTAGCTTAAAAATAACTTTCTATTATTTTTTTAATAACATTAATGTTAAGGTTTACTTTATTTTCTTAACATTATAACTTTTACACTATAGGTGTTCTTATTTATGCCTTAAGTAGTCTTTTTACTTTTAGTAAAGTATAATAAGTTATCTGTTATAAAAGCAGCTTTATGCTTTTTTATATATATTAAATAATTTAATATTATATGTTTTTAAAAGCGCTTTATTATTTTTTTTTAATTTATGTTTAGTGTAAACTATTTGCTTTTCTAAAAAGTTATAGACTAATAAGGGGTAACTTTATTTATAGTAGTTAAAAAGTCTTTTATAACAGCATTAAACTATGTTGTTTCTAGAACATTTTATGTCTCTACTTCTATAGCAGCGTAATTATACTCTGCTAGCTATAAGTTCTATATGCTTACGTTTCTTAGCAGCTTTAGAGATGTATTATATTAGTTGTGCACATATTCTTGTTTAAATTAGTTGTTAACGCCTACTATAGCTTTAAAGTTTATAATCTACTATCTAAGTAGTTAATCTAGGGAACAGCATGTATACTGCAGATGCGGGCTAACTATTAACTAGATAAAGATAATAATCTGTTAAAAGCTTAATTACTTTTTTTTATAATTATGTTTATTACTCTTGTACTTATTAGCCTTAATTTTATAGTATTTAATAGCTTTTTTAAAGGCTCTAACACTACTTATTAATAGCTTGTTTATGTGCATAGGCGTTTTAATATTAGAGGCTAGTAAAAACTTAGCTATTAGCAGCATCTCTAGAGCTCTTAGTTTAGAGATCATTTAGATAGTTAACTTAGGATCCACTTGCGGCCAGATGCTGTGCGCTACACATCTCAATTGCAGCTGCATCATCCAGGCTCTGTAGTCGGTGTGGTCTCGAAGGACGACTGTCGCGTCTCAAGGAGGCTGGGTGGCTATTTTGTATTAATGGAGGCACTAAGACTCTTAATTGTTAGATTAAAGCACTATTTCTAGGCTTCCTAAGATAAATAATAGGTTTAGATATAATATATAGGATAATAATTAATTGTATTAATTATGTTAATTTTTTAATCCTTTTTCTGCTCTACTTGTGTTGCTTAGCTTTTGTTTTTTTTAATCTAAGTCCCTTGCGCACTAGCCCTATGCGCGACTAGCTTGCAACATGCTGCAATTTGCAGCAACATACTGTTTAAGCTTATTGCTCGTACTATGTAGCCGCTTTTCGTCAAACGTTCCTCCTGTCTTGACAGTAGGTGCGCATATCTGACATAAGTATATTAGTTATTAATAAAAAAAAGTGCTTGCTTTTTTAACCTACTATTTACTATTACTATAAAGATTATAAATAAAGTAGGATTATATTATCACAGCTATGTAGGCAAACTACTTACACACCTAAGTTACTTACTTTTACTAAGACTATACTAAACTACTCTTTTTACACTAACGTACACTATAGGCAAGTTGCTTACACACCTAAGTTATTTACTTTTACTAAAACTACACTAAGCTACTCTTTTTACACTAATGTATTCCTAATAATACTACTTAAATGTGTTAAAGAAATGTTAGCTATAGCTTATACTTTAAGCTTTTAAATAAAACGTAACACTTTTTAAGTAATAAATTGTCTATAGGCTAATACTAACAAGAAAGAAGCAGATTAAAGAGCATTACAGGCGACTCACCATGCTCTAAGTCTAAGATCAGGGAGGGTTTCTGATTTAGGATTAGGACACTAAAAGAATTTTTGTTGTCTAGTTAGAGATAACGTACCTAACAGGTTGGCTGGCTACACAGGTTGGCCAGCTACTTTTGCTAAGCCCCTACTAAAACTACCCTATTCTCTTGCAAAATAGCCTACTTTAGCCCTATATAAAGTAATACAACATAAGATATTATTTAGAGTCTACTTTTACTACTTACTTATATGTACATAAGTTATGCCTAGTTTAATTACACTGCTTATATTACTTTTAACTTAGCTTACTTTTTTTAGTGCGCACTTGCGTCTTTAGCTTCTTTTTATTACTACGCGCTCTAAACTTCTTTAGAGTAGTTAGACAAGCTTTATTTTTAACTATTAAAGTTTTTTTTACCTAAATCTGCTTTCTTTTATATAATCTATGTTACATAGTAGCTTTATTTACTGCTTAAAGCTTTATAATTTTATAGCCTACTTTATTATATTAATGCTCTAGATAACTATTATTTACTTTTTATTACTTTACTATATTACCTTTAGCTGTTTTTATCTTTCTAAAGCTATAATAACTACTCTAGTTAATATCTAGCTTATTATTAAGCTTAACTTATTAAAGTTATACTTATTTTTATTTTAGATACTATACTTAGCTTTTATATTAGCTACTAAGTAAAACTAGCCTTAGATAACCTCTAGATTCTTATAAAGCGCTTTTTTATAATTATACTTATAATTAAACTTTATTATAAACTTAAAGCAGTGCTTAACCTACATACTAGGCTAGTTTAAGCTAACCTAGCCTAGATTACACTTTATAGGCAAGAAATTAGCTATATTAGCTATAGTTATAAGCCTAAAAAGAAATCTGCGTGTAATAAGCTTAAGTATGTACTTAATAACTACTTTTTTTTAAGCTTAGTTAGATTCTTTAATTTAGGCTAGCATTCTACTTATAAAGGCTATCTAGCGCGTTAATTGCTTAGTGTTATATAAAAGACATTATAAATAGCTGTAGCATGTTATAAGAAAAGTTTTAAGTTTTATTTAAAAGCCTAAAAAGCAAGCTGTATTTAACATTCTTTAGAAGATTTAATCTAGTGTTGTTGTTAAAGCATTATGTAGATAGGTAGAGTTTAGTAGGGGCTTAGCAAAAGTGGCCGGCTAACCTGTGTGGCCGGCCAACCTGTTAGGTACGTTATAGCTTTATAATTATTAGAATGCGGACCTTCACCAAGCTTTTCTGTGTTTATTCTAAAGTATAGAAGTTAGAAAGTGTTTAAAGATCTAGACAGGGTGATTTACTAAGTTTATATAGGAAATTCAAAGTTGTTGGGGTGATCGGTGGTACTATCGCATTAAGAATAGGCGCTGGTCGAGATAACAAATGGGCCTCGGAGGTGTGAATTAGATCCCCCGTGTCGCTATCATATGTAGCGTGTTCGCGTGGTGCAACTTAACCCCGTGAAGCTTAGGGGCATTGAGGGGTAGATAGGAATGGGGATGATGGGAGGAGAGGCTTGCTAGATGGGGGATCGGAGAGAAGTGAATTGTTTTAGGGGTGTAATTTAAAGAAATGATATTGAGGATTGGAGATACGTTTTATGTCCTTACTGCTTCCACAACGACGAATGTCGGGCGCTCTAACCACCGCGCCCAATACTGCGTCGCCATCCTCTCATCATCAGGCACAACAGGATCACTCCATTTCAACCTCAATCCCGCCTTCGCCGCACATCTCTCATAAACATCTTTCTTGAACTGAAACACATCGAATTGAATGGCAAACTCGGTATGCGCGACCACCCTTGCTGTAATCCCAAGGTCTTCCCCACTCCCTCCCGGCTCCTTGTACTCAGGATCCAACACCAAAATATCCAGCCCATAAAAATCCATCTTTGGTTCCTTCATCTTAGGGTCATTCACGTTCGTTGTAATTCCCACAAATCTTCCGTCTGGTTTCAAATTTTCTCCAATGACACGGAACATGGAAACTAGTTCTTCCTGCGTCCCTGCATAGTTGAGAAACCAGCCTGCGAAGATGAGATCGAAGGGTTCTGGCTTTGGGTCTAGCGGCTTGCTACAGTCAGCGACAGCGAAGTGGAGAGCTGGGTATGAGGAGGGTGGGTATGTGGTTTTTGCGCCAGAGATCATGGTGGAGGAAATGTCGTAGCCGTGAACGGAGGATGCGCCTAGGGTGTGGAGGAGGTGAGTGTAGCGGCCTGTGCCGCATGCTAGGTCTTCGTGGGGTGTTAGTATAGGATGTAACTAGAATTCATACCACTGGGTGTGGATATTAGAATACGTCGTAACTAGCAAGCTTACTAGTCACGTGTTCATTACCAAATCGAGCAGAAAGCATTCCATGTTTATGTTCTTGAAGAAGACTTTTAAACTTACCCAGACAACGTAATCCCTTAATACCTCCCACCGCCGCTACAACCGACGGTTTTTCAGGTTGCACAGCAGGAAGTTCATGCATATAATTATACTTCGTCCCAATCTTATCATATTGCGTATTCTGCGTGCTCGGAAACTTCTCAGTGCTTGACTCCGAAGCCATGCTTGTTCCAGTTCTCGTCTGAAACCCCAAGGCGTGCTGTGAGTTACACCCTTCAATCAATACAATTGGTGAGAAGGGGGATCAGCACCAGCTTGACACAAAGGGTGCTGTGGGTGAAGATGACGGCACGGTTCCACAGCGTTGGGACGGGCGAGAGGAAGAGGTACGATACGGTGGAGGGATGATGGATGTTCCGAAGGTGGGGTAATTGTGGGTATTTTGCGCTTCTGTTGTTAGCTTAGTGCTATGCCTAGGTAGTGTTAGCTCTTGCTGGGCATGCTGGGCATCGTAACAATCGATGCGGGAGGTTTGTTGTTCGGTCAATGAGGTTTTGTGTAGCAAAATAGCTGTGACCAAAATCGTTTCGGTCTAAAATCTCGGGCCTTTCAACTTCGGCATTCATATCTGGCAACGGGCTCCTTTCATGGAGGGTTCCGAGAATCGAGTGCGGATCGTGCCGAAGAGCATAGGAATTCCTAATTTGGCAACCCGAAGATCATGCCTCAACATGGTTTAACATCCACACGATTGAGAGGCAGTCGATGTTTACAGCATCTTGTCACCTAACGTGAATCATGACAGAGATTTGCATCCTCTTGATGCTCCCGCTAACTCTAGCGAGAGATTTAAAAGATAATCTCTATTCTAAATATGTTCCACTTTGTGTGATAAGCTGTTGTATGCATGGTTGCCTATATATATACACTCAAAGGGTCCGATGGAATCAATATGCCAAACCACATCAACTTCCTCTTGCCCTCATTCCCATTCACCCTTCTTATCCCCCTTCCCATCCTCTTAAACTCCTAGTAAATTCACCATCTCACAGGCCCTAAATGAAACACCTTATGCAGTACTGCTATATTCCCCTCAACGGGCGACTCGACTAACCACGTCAATTCATCGCTCGGGAACTCCGTGACATAGCCTTTCACACTCCCAAATTCTTTGATACCAGCTACAATCTCACAGATAGACTTTCCGCCGTGAACCAAGACATGTTGTGGGTAGTGAGGAGGTTGGAGTATGATATTGTGATGTGAATTAGGCTAGTGAGGGCGATTGTGAATCGGGATGGTTGATTTTGTTTGGTGAAGGCCATGGTGTGTCACGAATAGATTGTGTTTTCCTTGGGGGTTCAGAAGACCCAAAGGGAAGGAATGTAGTGGGCATTGAATAGAAGTCGGATGCGTAATCGCCACAGTTTTCCCACAGCATGAGGTGCTTCACTTAAGGCCATGTGGGATCGCAGAACAGGTAGGAGCTTAGGGAAGTAGTTTAGAGGGGGAGGAGATAGGAACAGTAGCCCAGGCCTCACATAAGCCAAAAAAATATATCGAAACTTGAAATTTGCCTCCTCAAATTCTGCACAGAAACCTTTCATTCCCAACACTCAGGCCCGCTTAAACCTTTCCCTTTGACCTACCATCAGAAAACTATCACAAACCTAAACAACAACAACAACAACACACATTTACATCTCCATCCACTACGTCTCCATCGCCTATAGTATGCCTTGTTTCCATGCTCACTGGCTCCGCTTGACCGTTCGGATTTATTCAAAGGGAGTGCTATAGACTGATAATTAAGCGAAGATGCCAATCAGTATCACAAGTGCCACCGTTCTGCAGACACGAACTGTTTAGGCTAAGAAAGGAGTAAAAATCCCTAATTTCGCTTCCAACTCATCCTTTATATAGAAAAAGGCCCTAAGCTTTTTTAGATTCTCAAGCTCAGGAGGGAAATCCGTGTCCACAAGCTCTTGCACAAAGCCGTCGAAAAAGGCATCCGCCTTAAATTAGTGCACAGTGCTGAGGAGAAAAAGGTATACTGGGAGTTGAGGGAGATGGAGGAGTTGAAGAAAGCGGAGGAGGAGCATTTCCGGATCAAGAGGTTGGTGGAGAGGATGTAAGGGGTTGAAACCCGTTTTTCGGGATTGTGAGATTGTCCGATGATGATCAGAAAGTGTGTTAAATGTCGGCATTATCATGAAGAGGGAATATGATGGCAGCGTGTTTCGAAGCATTAGGTGAGTTGTGGTATTTCAAGATTGGTCGTCATAAACAGGATTCGAAGTAGTACGAGACACGGTGTTGATCGTCTATTCCCGCCGTAATGCTTGCAGGGCGATCGTATTGACACACAACGCAGGCACTGTAGTGAACTAAAGTCGTTACTTAACATATCAATCAGGCGTAAATCGCGTACGAGATCTACTCTCGTGAACCACAAGGTAGTCCCTATGCCTTCTCTTTAACTTCAATTTCCTTCATCTCGTTCTTCTCGTCCTCGATGCCCTCCTCGATATCCTTCGCGATGATCTCGACGCCGGGAGGGCCAACAGTCTCGAAATGACGACCGCGTTTCTCGGGCCCCAGGGCTGTGGTCACAATAATACCAGTGGCAATGATGGCGGTTGCGATACCCATTACAGGGCCATAAGCTGGCGCTTGTACACCTTTGCTAGTCGTAATCATCGTATTCTCAGCGATGGCATTCACAATTTGCGCGGATGGAGATGAGATCATGTTTCCGATCTGGTAGGTAATACCCGGGAAACTAGATCGGAACGCAGGAGGGGACAGTTCGTTCAAGTGGATTGGGATGACACCCCAAGCTCCTTGGACAAAGAATTGAATAAAAAAGCCGGAAGCAGAGAGGTTGCGCTCGCCTTCGGGAAGGATCCAAGCAGGGATCATTAAGGCAGACATAAATGCGGCGACGATAATGGTGCGGCGACGGCCGAAGAATTGGGAAAGATAGCCAATGATGGTGCCGCCAACGCAGGCACCAGTCTTCATGAGAATCGAAGCGCGGGTCGCAGGGGAGTTGGTGAGATGCTTTTGGGTAAGCATGAAGGTTGTGTAGCTGTCTTGGCTGGTATGCGAGTAGTAGTTGAACTGTGGATGATTAGTATGTAGTACTTGGAGCAAAAAGTGTAGAGAAGATCCGCTCACCCAGGTCATGAGAATGATACAGTAGATGCACATTTTCCACTCTTGAATCAGCATACGCTTTGTCTCCTTCCAGAACAAGCCGGGAGCCTTAGCCTTGTGGCCAGCCTTTCGAGCTTCAATGAATTGCCTCGACTCCGGGAAACAGATCCGGACCAGACCAACCCCGATAGAAATACCAGCACCAACCCAGAAGACAGTCTTCCATGAGTCAGTGGATCCCCCTACTCCGAGGTTTACGCAAGCCGCAATAACGTAGCCGAACGAATAACCTTGTTGGAGGATACCGCTCATAAGACCTCTGGCGTTGACGCTGCGCTAGGGTAAGTTTTTAGACGATGGGAATTTGGGGAATGATTACTTACGGGCAGTTTTCCAAAGCCATGGCAATGGCATTGCCATAGACCCCTCCCATGAAGAGACCAAACAAGCTACGCACAGCAAGGAACTGCTGAAACGTACCAGCGTAGATTGTAGCAATCTGGAGCAGGCCGAGAATGATCATATTGACAACCATGGGCCATTTCCGACCGAATTTGTCTCCCGCAAGACCAAAGAAGGCAGCGCCCACAGAACGGAGAAGCAGAGTCAGTGTGATAGCTGTTGTGATATCGGTCTTAGAGCGGTGGTAGTATTTCGAAAGCTTGACAGTTTGGATTGACAGGGCATGAAAGTCGAAGGCATCGGCGGTCCAAGCGGCGAAACCGACGATGAAGAAGAGCCAGTCCTTGATACTGAGCTGGGCCAGGAGACTCACGGGGTCCTTTAATCTCTCAGGTGCTTGCCATTCTGTGTGCGTCTCCCCGAACTCATTGGTGACAACCACTCTCTGTTTCCACGTGAAGAGATCGCACCAGGACTGTTTAGCTGTAGCGAAGATACCCCTGGCAATTGGATCTGCGGGCTCGTTGGTAGCGGCCATATTGCTTGACGACGAGATTGACCGAAGGAAGTGCAGGAATTGCCTGCTTTGAAGAATTATCGGATCAGAGTGCGACCGAGAAATCGTGAGCTGCCGACCTTAGGGTGCAAACTCTGCAATATATATTGTCCCATGGGGTGCCGGGCTGGCGGGGTTCTCGCCGGGGTTACTCCCATGTCACTGCCCTTGACGAGGTCATCCATCCCGCAATGGAATCAATGTTACAAGCCAAGAGAGGCCAAGATGCCCAGACCAGCAGGTGTTGCATGAGAATGCAACCACCACCACGGAGCCAAGATAACTAAGCATCGCGGTGAACCGGGCTCTTCAAAATGCACGAGTGAGGAAATAGAACGAAGCCCGGAGGGAGGTACTCATAAGAGGATGTCTTCCGAGGAGCGTCACGCACTTGTTGATCTTTCTTGGGCAGATGGAAACCCCGTGGGGAAGCACGTATGGTGGTTGAGAAATACCCCTCCACTGCGGTTGCACAAATAGCCGGTGCTGCACACAATCAGCGCCTGCATGTCGCAACCCTCCGTCAGCTTTCAAGTCCATTTTCTTCTTTTGTCCATCTCATAAGCATCGTGGCGCCGGGAGAAGCTTCTGTGCAGAGCTTCCCCGAGCTTCAACCGTTAGCATCGAGCCGCCCAGGACTGCCGTGCATTTGGCCCGTTACTTGGCAAGTCTGCCGCAGCCTGCTGGGCAAGGTCGGGCGCACCGAAGCTTCAGCCCACCCTCTTTGCAGAGAGTGGTTCGACGGCACGTACGACAGCCAAGGGAGAGAAGCAGTGTGGCTTGCAGGGCCGAGCAGGCTTTCATCGTCAGCCGAGCAACTTGGACGCCTTCTTTCAACCGTCATCCATCGACAAGAAGATATTGTCGAGCGCCAAAAGGAGCGGGATTAAAGGAGAATTCGAGAAGTCCGGCCGTGTAGACCTGGCAAGATATTTGAGCATTTCTATTCTCAGAGACTGAACCTGGGGCCAGGGGATTGGTCCGAGTGCATCGGGGCGGCTCTTGTTCGGTGGGTCTTTCATGTGCACGTGGCGAATGGAGATACACCAGCGTACGAGGTGTGATAAGGATCGATGCGTGTGGACGCAGATACGGAGAAGACCGGAGTCGAAACTGCTTAGCTGGAAGACAGGGCTGACTCTGGTTCGTGAATCGGTGAAGATAGACTTGAGTTAGGTGGTCTTGGTGTCGTCTTTGTGTTGATGAAGAACGCTGATGCGGGGGAAAACGCCCCGAGGCGACCACGGCGAGGCGCCCTGTCCGCCGTCCTCAAACCCCCCAAAAGCCCAACAACCGCCACAGCATCCGACTTCTGCTCGACCCCAGCGTTACCATCGTTCGTGCTTGATCTGATAATCGCCCAATCCCGTGTTCGGCCACAGGAGAAGAGCCGGCAGTTGCTCGCCAAGGAAACACATGATACGGCCAGTGGCCGACAAAAGCAGGCACGAGCAAGCAATTGGGAAATGTAATTCCCATCCGCCAACAGCAGCAAGACACAAAGAATGCCATCATATCCTTATCTATCTCATGCTTCATCAGAGTATTTCAATTGAGAAGCTTCTCGAGACTCAGCTCCAGATTTGTTCTCACTGTTTAATTTACCTACCGATGTGTCTTAGCGCTAGTTACTGGTATCTAGGTTTTCAAAATGCCATCAACGTCATGATGAACCAGAGCTTCAAGAGCTTGAAAAGCAGCAATGGGCTGCACAGGACTTCTCAGTTCTCTATCTGCTTTCAAGTTGCTATCATTATCAATTACTCACTCTTCAATTGCTGAACTCAAGGTCTACTACCATCACAACCAAATCCAGCTGATCCAAACTATCCAATTCCACTTCCACCTCCTCCACCTCTTCCCCCTCTTCTTCATCTCACCAACACTGTCCGACCCCCTCAACAATGGCCGCCTATATCCCCCCGCTCGCATAAAAGTCGTGCCTCAAAACAGTTACAAAACCTCTACCCACGACAAGACCTAACCGTCTTCAATACCACACGCAGTGCAAACACGCAATTCGCTCCTCTGCAAACAATTGGTTCCGGAGATCCCAGTACGGTTACGGAGACAGCCGCGCATACTGCGAATACCCACATTATACCCGCTACGGTGACTAGTTCGAATCCACTGCTAATGAGGACGGGTAGTAGGTCGGCGAACACACAGGCGATTGGGCCAAGTACTATGAGTGGGACATAGCGCTCGGGGTTGGGGATGCTGACGGGTGTAGGGGGTTGGATATACTGCTGGTGGCGATCGTTGTGGGAATCATAATGGTTGTATGAACAGGTTGACAGACATTTGAGAGATAGGAAAGACTATGGTAGCGTGAGGATGGCGGAAGATTAGGCTTGTCTTATAGGACTACACGGAATCCATGTTGGTGGTCATTCCTCGAGGCGTCGGGGGTATACGCGCGGGTGTAAATCGATATATTTGTACTGCCTCTAACACCTCAAGATAAGAAGTAACTGATCGGGTCCTGATCTAAAGAAGGTGGGACAGAAACTAGCAATCCTTTAACATTCGCTCCATTTCCAGCATCACGTCTAATACATCGCGTCTCGTACACCTCATTTCAAGCAAATCCCATCCACACATCCCTCACCCTCGCACCCCCTCTCAAACAAAAACACCCCTCCCGTCGAATCCACGAAATCACATCGCCATATACCATACCAGCACTCGTCCGGGCATTCGCATCCTCCGTGTCCACAATGGCAGTCTCCACTCATACGACAGTATTCTTGGCCCATGCCGCCAGAGCATTGTCCTACAGGATTCAAGTCAGGAAGGGACGGTGATGAAACTCAGGACCGGTGCGATATGTACCAGAGGGGCAGGTATCGTATCCGCAGTATCGCTGGTCTTGGATACATGATGGTGGCTGAGGGCCTTGTTTTGCAGCTGCGGCTGCGAGGAGAAGGGTGGAAAGAGGTATGATGGCTCTCATTTTCGGCTGCTTGTGAGGTGTTATCCGTCGGTTCGGCATGCAAAACGGGCAGATAGTGGAATAGATCAATAGAAGCCGCTTTGAAGTTAAGTTTTTCAGCTGGTGCATGGCACGGTGTTTCTTCAATGTCACACGGTCCTACCATGTATCACATTGATATTCCGGCGGCAAGGTATATGCTAGCACATACTATTCTCTTAAGAACCTTATAATCTCTATTTAGTATAGCGAAGAGCGAAGTGTATACCCTAGGCCTGCGCGTTCTGGTCGAGTGAGGATATCGAGTGAAGAGCTGTCGGGGGATTCTACAATGACATTATCCAACCCTTCAACTCGATTCTCGTTCGAACGTTCCACAACATTACCCTGCAACAGTATATCCCTCCGTGGTACACAACCGGCTTTGCTTGCCAACAATGGTCCCCACAATCACAACAATGCCGTAATTCAGTCTTTTCCTCGGAGTATAAGCTCTATTCCAAACTTGGACGTTTCCAGTCAAACGAGATTTGGGTGGAAGTCATCAGGATGAGTGGAGGAGTATCAATGTGCCTACCAATATCCTGTATTATCTCCCATCCGTAGTATTTTTGACCCACATTGCAAAGTCCAACAACTCCGTCTTCAGCTATCGAGACCGGTTGATGGAGAAGAATTATAGAAAACATTTAAATTTCTGAAGTACGACAGACAAGACTCTTAGAGAAAAGGCATTGCAAAATAATGCTTGCTCTGAACCCGAGTTCAACGTGCGGAACTTTCTCGTTCAGTCACCGCCAGGAGTGGCTTGATAAACTGAGTCTCCAGCACCCGATTCAACTATCTCATTCCGCCACGGTCACCTCCTCATGTGCAATTTCCGGCTCCCTCAATGCAAGCGTTGCCACAAGTCTTTACATACGAATATTCTCCGATGTTATTGTTATTGAATTCGCACCTCCAAACACCTCTCGCACAATTACCATGGCAGCTGCACTTCTCGGGGTCCTTGAGGCATTCTTCTGAGCAGTTGCGATGCCATGTGCGGTAGTAATGTGCGAGGCTTTGTAGAAACGAAGCTAGGAAGGAGCTTAGAAGAGGTTCCAGGCACTTAAAGAGCACTTAATCCATTACCGCGCAACTCATTGTGTGGAGGAACATATGCGGCACATGAGTGCTGGCCCACTTTGCAATTCCTGCCTACAGCGAATTTATCTCAGGAGGAGTCCGCGATGCAGGGTTGGCTGGAAAGGAGAAGAAGTAGAGAAACAGTCGTACATTGTATATTGGGGAATTGGCACATGTTTCAGACGAAGACAAGTCAATGAGCTAAAACATGGCTCGAAAATAAGTTGGGTCGAATTCGGATTTGCTTTCAGCTGCAATTCCTGCTCGAGATTATCATCTCTCATTCAAGCGTACAAACCCCTAACCTGAATTCGTGAAGAAAGTGTAGAAGACAACGTCATATCCCAGCCAAACCCCTTCATCAGCCGAAATATCATCCAACACCCAACGCGACTCCAATATTCAAAGTCTTACTCAGAGCTCAGGTATCTCCTACCAGACTTGGGGCCTCTGGTTGGCCCTTTCTCTCAGAGATGCAGTTCACTGACGTCTTCACCGTCGTACCAGCTCTGTTAACCACCCTCCTCGTAGTTGAGCATGAAGGAAACGGTGATACACGCGTTGTTAGGTCATTGGCAGTCGTGGCTAGCTTCTCTTAAGCCTGTGCTTTCTCGTTAGCTATCATAGAATGTAAGCGCGATTGAGAGTTCTAGGTAGCTTACTTTCGAAGTCTTGTGGAATCTGGATGGCTTCTTCGACGTGAGGCATGATTGCAAGCCAATCAACCACAAGAGCAAAATTTCTATCTAGGACCTTACAGAAAATGAAAGGGTCGTTCAGATCCCTTTGTCAAAAATCTGCGCTGCGGCAACAGTCGACCCGACACAAGCATCGCTCACAATAGAGGTAATGACCCTACCCCGCAGTGGGGAAGCTGCTGTCCCTTCATGCAAGAACGGCAGCGTGTGATAACTTGACTGCTTCAGCTATCGAAATGCTTATTTCGGGCAAATCGCGTCGTTCAGAATCCCGGAGCTTCGCTCGGAACACATCTCCAAATGCCCCAACTATGCCGACGAAACGTGTTCATTCGGGCAAACTAGGCACCAACAACGACAACATGCATCAATTGCCCGCATCTGTAAGCTGAGATGAGATGAATCATTCATCCATCCATCCACCAACTCACTGCCTAATGAACCAAATCATGTCTGTTTTCTCCATTATCCCCAAGCCCGGAAATCCTGTCACTGCCCAAGTCTTCGACGACGTCTGCGCCAGTCTCAAAATCAGCGTCAAAGATTCCGAAAAAGATGATTACAGAAAACTCCTCGCAGTATTCCATGATTCGGCGGAGGAGTTAATGGCGATGCCTGAATTTGAGCCTGAAACAGATACTACGCGGTTTCCACGGGAAAATTTGCATTTTCCAGGGAAAGAGGATAATGAATACGGGGCTTGGGCTTGGAAGGTGAGGATCAAAGATCAGAGACCGACGAGTGGGAATGGATTGTTAGAGGGAAAGACTGCAGCGTTGAAGGATAATATCGCGGTGAAAAACGTTCCAATGCTCTTGGGGACTGCTTTCGTGAAGGGGTATATTCCTGTGCGTCCCCACCTAATTATGTCGCCGTTGAGATAAACTGATCCTCCGAGTAGAAAGTCGACGCAACAGTCGTAACCCGCCTCCTCTCAGCTGGCGGCATCATCGTTGGCAAAGCTGTCTGCGAAAACCTGTGCCAGAGCGCAACTTCTCATTCCGCCGCGACTGGCGTCGTCGAGAACCCCCGTGCAAAAGGGTATTCATCCGGCGGTAGTTCGTCCGGCTGTGGAGTGCTCGTCGCCTTGGGTGAGGTGGATTTAGCGATTGGAGCGGACCAAGGAGGCAGTGTACGAATTCCAGCGTGCAATTGCGGAATCGTTGGATTCAAGCCCACGTTTGGGCTAATACCGTATACGGCATGTGGGTCGAATGAACCCACTAATGACCATCTAGGCCCTATGACGAAGACGGTGATGGATAATGCGCTGCTTCTGCAGGCGATTGCTGGATCTGACAATATTGATGATCGAGGTTTTGCTGCACCTGCTCCTTCCGCTATCCCGCACTACCACAATAATTTAACGAATCTAGAGGCCCCAAAGAACCTGTCTGGCATTAGGATCGGAATCATTTCAGAGTCGCTGACTGGCGCAGTTCTCGACCCAAGAGTTCGAGATACGTTCTTGAAAGCCGCTGAGGGATTCCGAAAACTAGGCGCCATCGTCGAGGAAGTCAGTATCCCGATGCATTTAAAAGGCCCCGCGATCTGGACTGGAGTCAGCAAACTCGGCGGATATCTGAACAAAACAAGTGGCGCGTTCGGAAGACGAGGTCATCAGATGTGGGATCTGAACGCACTCATGCATCCGATGAAGCAAGAAAATTGGGATGAGGGATATGTTTCGTAAGTCTTACCTTCTACTCCCAATTATAGACCATGGAGAAGGGGACCAACAAGGCTAATGAAATATCCCAGCACCAAAAACCTATACTTCAACGGCGCCTATGCCTCCTCCAAATTCCCCTATCTCCTCTCTAAAGCCACAAACCTCTCCCGCCACCTCCGAGCCGCATACGACACCGCGCTCCAATCCTACGACGTCCTCACCACGCCCACGATTCCTTACATAGCGACTTCGCACTCTGCACCCGATGCCACACCTCTGGATCAGATCGCCAAACAAGTCGGGTTGACGAGTAATACGTGTCAGTTTAATCAAACGGGACATCCGGCTTTAACCTTGCCGGTTGGGCTTTTGGAGATTGAGGAGGGGCCTCTTAAGGGGAAAGGGACGAAGCTTCCAGTGGGGTTGCAGATTGTGGGGAGGTGGTGGGAGGAGGAAATGGTGTTGAGGGTAGCGTATGCGTGGGAGTTGAGCTACGAGTGGGAGGGGATGTGAGGAGGTTAGGTGGGAAATTGGGTATATGGCCAGATTATACTCCGAAAGCGGCCATGCGAAGATATACCATTGATCCCGTACTCTTCCCCAGCAAGGGGAATCTCCCACAACTCCTTCACAAGACACCCACCAAGAGTATTCCTTCTACGCTAAAGGTATATCCCCCTACGCAACCTCCGCCGTCTTCTTCTTTTTCTGTCCTGTTACCGTCCACCAGATATCCGTCCATAATCCCAACGGCGGCTCAATACTTGCCTCATACGCGTCAATCTTCGGTCTCTCCCAGACCAGATCTGCATCTTCAGGCCTGATAAATTTACTTCGCTTGATTAACTTAAATCCGACCCAAAGGATGATGCATATGAAGCACATAGCATAATATGTAAAGAACGTGCCGACATCGAAGGCGTAGAAAGTAGCGTAGCCGTAGATCGCCAGGGTTATGGAGAAGAGAATGACCCCAAGGATGGCGACATAGGGCTGGCCCCAGCCTTTGTATGGGAGGGAGTTGCGGTCGTAACCTTGAACTTTCAGGGCGCGGTAGAAGAAGAGATAGAGCGTGCACATGAATATGTAGTCCATCAGTTGCGCAGCTTGCGTTATGTTAGCGAGCCTAAGATCGTGTTAGCGGGAGTGCAATACCAGTGAAGTGTGAGGAAGGCACCATTTCACGCCTTCAGAGGCCGCACGACCAACACTGAGGAAAGCGAGGAGTGGGAACACCATGGTGACGCAGAAGCAGTAGATGGGGACTCCGGCTTTGGTAGTTTTTTGGAGGAACTGCGGGGCGTGGCCATCAATGGAAAGGGAGTAGAGGGTGCGGGTTGCGCAGTAGACGTATGAATTTCCTAGAAAAATCAGATGCCTTGCTTTTTGTAATGAAGGGCGGGAAGCTATACCAGCAGAGAAGATCGAAGTGACCATGAGCGCATTCGTCAAATCCGGAAGTACACTAATTCCCATATTCTTCATCGCGATGACGTAAGGCGAGGATGCGCCCGTCCCTGTTCCTTGGGTACTCAGGAGGTCGTTGAGGGTTTTGTCGTTGTAGGGCAAGACAATACCCACGCAGAGCGCGCCCATTATGAAGAAGATGCCGAAGCGGAAGTACATAGTCTTGAAGGCAGCCTTAATCGTTTTGCGAGGATAGATGGCTTCGCCAGCAACCATGGCAACGTACTCTGGGCCTACGATGGTAAATGAGGCTTGAAAGTAGGCACCGAGGAAGCCTTCGAAACGCCCAAGGTTACCGGTGTGAATGTATTCTGCAAAGGAGCCTGGGTTTTTCCAGTATCGGAATCCGTATGCGTCATGCTTGGGATTACCACCGACCTATTTTGGTTAGTCTTGGGAACGGGAGGGGGGTAGATGTGGTTACCATAGTGACAAATGTGAAGCAGAAGAGCATGAAAATCAGAAGGACTTTACCAGAGGCCCTATTGATTTCAGTACAAGTCGGAAGATGCTGAATTTATGTATACTTACAGCCAGAACTCGCTCTCACCATATGCACGGACAGCGAAAAGATTGATGATTCTAGAAATGTGAGAGAGAGTCCGCCAATTGTGGCGTGACGAACGAACCCATAGAGGACAATACAGGCAGCGACAACAGCGGCGACAGGGATATCATCTCGCCAGTATGTCAAGACAAGGTTCAGCGCGGAGATCTCGAAAGGAATGAGCACAGCTTCGTAAAGCTAGGATTGAGTCAGCGACCGCATGCTCATCAGAAATGTGATCAAGACCTACAAAGAAATTCCATCCTGCCATGAAACCGTAGGCCTCGTCGATCCATTTCGAGCTCATGCGCACCCAACCACCCACAACCGGCATGAAGACGCTCATCTCAGCCATGCAGCTATTCGCAAGCGCCAAGATGGCACAGTAGCCCGCGAAAGCGATGAATAGACTGCCCGGTCCGCCCTCCACAAGCCCCCATCCGATGCTCACGAACAGTGCTGTTCCAATTGAGCCTCCAATAGCGATCCATTGGATCTGACGGTTCGACAGTCGGCGATGCAACCCATCCACGTTTTCGACTTCAGCGACAGCCGTATCGTCCTGCTCTTCATACCCTGGATGCTTCTCGGTGGGTAAGGTGGCTTTTTCCGCCATTTCCGACTCCGCGATGGCGATGAGGGATTGCTGTAGTCCGGACCGTCTGAGGTGTGGCTATTGTGGCCCTTTAAACGCCTGCACTTTCGCATGCAAGGTTCTTCCAGGATTACTTAGCGATGGCGGTCGCGTCACAATAAGGCGCCTTGTGGGTAAGTCGGAAAGGTGGGAAACCAGCCACGCGGTAGTGGAGCAATTCGAGAGCTCCGAAAACCAGGATCATCTTGAAAAGTTGGTCCCTCACAGGTTGTAGTGGTGTTGTGGGTGAGACTACAGGGTCTGAGAAGTGCCCCATCGGCTCACACCTCCTTATCTAGGGCTAGCCCCTCATGTGGGTGATCGGGCCAGGGAGAGCTAATGGCAGGCATGGGAGGCTAGATACGAAAACTCTGGTGCACAGAAAGCAGTAAAGAAGTCCAGACTCTGCCCACCCACTCCACTTCATCACGTTTAACCTCAAGCTTTAAAGCCGCGATTTGAATTTCGCGTAGCGCGGAAGCTTAGCAGAGCTTAGGTCTGCGCCTGAACGCCTCCCTTGACGCCAGCTGTGTTCCCCCCACACTAGCTCTCCGCCATGACGTATACCTATGAGGTCCCATCAACCCATCTTTGATACCGACAACTTTGACGGATGAGAATCAGTAATGCACTATGAACAATGAGAGAAGGATTGCATAGCTCTAAGGCCCGGAGGCTCGGCTCACGCGAAGCATCAGTAGTGGGTAAATATTCCACCTGGCCATTTCCCAACGTCTTCCAGAGTCCTCTAATCTCATCAAGCTAGCTCTCTCCCATGCCGGGACTATCGTAAAGCTTCACCTAGGAGAGCATCAGATGCAGACGGCCTTTGAAACCACAATCGCCCACGATAATGGAGAGGAGAAAATCCAGGAGCGTCATGACGGCCTTGCGGTTCCGTAGCCCGTGACCCTTATTCATGTGTCCATTCGGACAGCTTCCAATGTTTCCTAAAGGAGAAGCATGCTTCATTGTTTCGTTGAATTATTGCATCCTTCAAATTCTGACAGTTTCTCAATCCGGCGTCATCAAAGGACCACGAAGCAAGCCCATTGTTCACGACGACAACCCTCTCAAAACATCGACACTCTCACTGAAGCGCACCAAATCCGCATTTCTCGCTTTCCACTCTAGCCCTTTCCGCAGAAATGGCCGGGGATACTTCGCCAAGATCCTCGGGTAGCACCGCAATGCGCACTCACAGCAGCAAGCGTGGATCCTCTCATCCTCATTGAATATGACGAGATGTATGGTAAAGACGAGAATGCTTATATAAATCCGGAATAACTCAGTCAGGAAGCTTGGGTAAGGCTTGTGAATGAGCAACGGCTAGGATTTTGGCGCTCCTCGACAGAATGGAGGAAATCATGCACATACATGACGAGTCTTATTTGCGCTACGTGCGTGTCACCTACCGCTTTCTGTAGCATCCTCTAAAACATTAGCATCGAACCGCTAACTCTTCACCGAACCTCGTCGCTATTTAGCTCTCCGCACTCGCCTTCCTCACACCTCACCAAGCGAACTACTTCCTCTCCGTCGGCATGCTGTGGCCAGCCACCGTCTTCCGGGGCAATTGGAGCTTATTTATCAGTATGGTTAGATGTGCCGAACCACTGGAATCTTTTTCGCGTGCTCGAGTCTCTTATTCTACAAAGTTTGTCATAATAGCCGGTTTCTTTCTCTCTATTATCTCCATAGTAGAAGCTTCAGACCATCCGTCGAAGGTTCCGGCACTATCATCGCCGTTTACATCGAAATCTCGCCCCGCCTCCATCCAGACGTGTACCTGCTCGCTCCTTGGTTTTCTAAGACCCACGTCGATATCGTTGCGGGTGTTGTGCTCTTCGTCGTTCTGACGTACCAGAGCGTAAACCATCGAGTCTTTGTATCGATTATGGTGATTGTGGCCGGTTTATATGCGATTGCTCTGCTCCCGATCAAGGCGAATTTCTGGGAGTTTTTATGGGACCGGAAACGCGAGTAGCGTTAAAACGAAACGAGCGTATTTGCAGCATGAGTAGGAATTTTTAGGAGAGGTAGGAGAAGTTTAGGGACCGCAGGCGTTGTATCGGGAGTCAGCTTGTAAGTATACAGCTCTCAAAGCTGTTTGTGTTTGCGGGTTTAGTACAACCTTGGGAACTTCTCTCTTGAACATGCACACATACAAAATATCTTCCAAACCTCGCCCTTCCATCTACTCTACCTACCATTCACTAGCCCATGCTACTAACAGTCCGCGCCTAGCCTCCTGCTACTCTGATGCTGACGGCATTCCCATCCTCCCCTCCATCGCGATGCCTATCGCTGTTTGATTGAAGCATTCCAGGATACCGGCATATATGCGGGAGAATTCATCCTCACATTTGTCTTGAAACAGCAAAAATGTGGCTAGTGTGTACACGTGACTCCTAATCTTGTACTCCATATTCCAACTCCTCGGCACCGTATTCAGCGGCCACCCTTCCACTCATCCACTCATCGACGTACTTAATTTCTCGGCCTTCTATACGCTAGGTGTGTTGGTCACTTCCCTCTAGAGAACTGTTACTAGTTCGTTGTGCTGTGGAAATTGAGTTTTGTCGGGATTTGTTATGCGATTAAGAGTTAGCGAGTACAGTATTCGGAGGGACTGTGTCAGTTTCCCTATTGTCCTCAGCGGTTTTGCGTAGAGTGCGAGATGTTCTTAAGATTTTGATAGACGTATGGGTGTTTGTGTTTGGTCTAGGGGTAGGAAAGGGCCGGAAGGCTACGGCGGGGAATAGATGATGATTAAGAACGGAAAGAGGGTAGGAACTTGGAAAGACGTTAACGATCTGGCTTAGGGCAGGTTAATCTGCTATAAACTACTTTTCTGCGTTGGTACTTTGACAAATCATGCTATTTTCGAAGTTCGCCGTCGATATCGTGAAGTTCTACTACACACGGACCCCGCCGTATTCATAGGTCTTTGTCAAGTGTAGATATCTTAAGACTCTGTGAAGTCTATAATAGGGTATTGGTTCAGCAGAGGGTAGGCTGAAGTGAATACGAGAACCAGTCTTACGGATGTATAATTTAGTAAAGCTAGGCACTTCGGAGCAGAGGTACGCTGTACATGTATCTGTACTACAGGAAGCCTTTTCTAAGGCAAATACTTCCAAGCTCAAGCTCCATCGTATGATCGTAAAGCTATCCAATTGCTGATGTCATAGAAGGGGTATAATCCGCAATATCGTCACTAAGAAACTCAAACCAGCAGGCATTGTTACACTTCTTCCCTTGCACACAGACACGCTGCTCTATCTCAGCAGCAGATCCGAGTTCGTCCCAGTCTTTGACCTCATACCGCCCAAACAAACAGGCGTTAGCGTAGTCTCTTTTCCCCATTAGATAGTTGTAGTCACTCCAACGTCATTGCAGACGCGGTCTACCTTAAATTATCTCCTCTAGGTGGTGTATATAAAAGCAATAATGTCAATCTCTTTGGCCGTCGGGCCCCTGGTCTTGTGGTATCAATAAAGAGGAGATTAGTATGGTCCATGCAGTAAGGATGAAGCACTCAATCAAAGAGAGACAACAATTCTGTCTCTTTTCGCGGCATTTGATCGAGTCTGAATTAGGCGTAGCTCCCCTTTTGAGGGCAGCGTTTCTATCAGGAAGTAGTACGATTCGACTTAGGCTTTCTAGACAAGTTACGTCTCACTTATTATATACTTTTGTTTGCTTCACCTAACAGCAGGGGTTAATATAATTAAGTTACAGTTTAATTAAAGCTGCTTATACTTCTTAACTTTTTACTAAAAGTTACAATGTAACTGTTAAAGCTTTTAGAGTAGCAAAGTCCCCCTTACTTTTAATATAGCACATAAGGTTATTTAATTTACTAAAAATAACTTTATAATGTAGCTAGTTTTTCTAGAGTTGTAAAGCTTTAATTATAGAGCCTAAGAGATAATTATAGTTATAAGTAACTATTCTTTTCCCCTTGCTAAAGGCTCTGTGCTATCTCCCTATACAAGGGACTGTTATCTTTTGCTATAATAAGGTTGTCTAAGGTTGTTGTAGTATAGGGCAAGCTCTAAGGCTACACTAACACGTAAATAGTGGCACAAACACGCTCCCCTAGCCCTTACGCGCGTTAGAGACTGCAACCTTAAAAAAGTCTACCTTAATTATATACTTCTTACTTTTAAGCCTTATTAATTAAATTGTAACAGTTAAAAATGTAGTTACGTTTGTTTGCCTTATGTAATTGTAGGTGGAGCAAAAGTATCAATTGTACTACTTCCTGTTGGAAACGCTGTTTGAGGGTGAACGGGCATTTTTATGGGTTTGGTAGCTGGGGAGAGTTGGTAGGGCAGCACACAGCATGTGGTGGTTTTAGGGACGTGTGGTAAATTTCAAATGAATGGTGGATTTTGCAAATAGGGACCCGGTGGCCTTAGAGACGCTATTGCGGAAGACTCGACGGTGTGTATATAATAGGAGGCTGTCATGCACGTGTGTGAGCGGAGGGATAATAGCTGTAATGTTTCCTGAAGGAACACGTCTCGTGACAGCCATGGCCAAGATAGGGTCTAGGGATTTAGGAATGTTGTGGGCGTACAGGGCAACAGTACAAAACTAAGCTACAAATCCTCAAGTATCTTGGCTGCATCACATTCTCTCAATTCACAACACAACCTTTGGCAAAGCTCTATCCTCACAACAGCAACAGACAGAAGCCTCTACCCGTCCGTCATACATCCACCAAATGTCGCAACAAGTTCAACTACATTCAAACCTCAACATCGTTGAATCATTCCCTGATCGCTACAGGATACCTCCACCTCTTCTACATGATCGTTCGTTTACCAGTCCAAGTTTTGCTCCTAAACTTCGCATCACAGACTTGCAGACTCGATCGAATGGGGGAAAAAAAAAAGGAAATTGTTCATGCCACGTGCCGGTAGACCCCGAGGCGTGTCTTTGGATCGGTTCTAGTACTCCCGTGCTGAAGAGACGGATAGGGCTAACGATCGTATTACGGCAATGAGTGGGGAATATAGGGATAACGTCTGATAGACGACCCGCCGGTATGGGATATTCGGAGGCGAAGCGAGGGAAGATTGATTTGGGAGTATCTTAAGAATAGCTGATAACTTGAGCTCATACAAGCTCCAAGTGTAGAATGTAGACATGAGACAACTTTGGAGAAAACTATTGCATATGCCGCACCCGCTGATTTGCAGGCGGCAAGAGGAGAATGGTCAGGTTGTTGTGATCAGGATATGAAGACTATGACATGCAGTGCGGTTCTATCAAAGGGGTATATATATGTCTTCGAACCTCAGCAGGTCCTGTACCAACTCCCATCCTTATCCGTCCCTAGCAGTCGCTCTTGCGATGTCGATATTAATAGCCCCAACATCCGCTTTCCTAATTTCGGTGCGATGAGACCCGATGAGGAGGTTGTAGGTATATTGCGCGCATTTCCTTGTCTGATCCCGTGCTTCTACCCCAGGATGCCATATTGAATGCGCGTGGGCGGGTGGCGACTGCTTCTTCGTTAAACTTTCCGATCTCTTTTCACTGTCTATCTATCTATCATGAACTCTCACCCGCACCACTCTGCTTCATCAACAGCTCCCTCTTCTGCCGTAACCGCGCTTCCTCGCTTTCCAACCAATCTAACTCCATGCGTCTCTGCGCCTGCACAAACGGCGAGGGTTCTGGGTTCGAATTCGAATTTAGCACGCTTTCCTGCGCCCCTGGTACCGGGATCGTTTGTAGTGGAGGTGTTGGTCGTCTCTCGGTAACTTGTACAGGGTGGTCATCAGACAATTCTCCTAACTGCCCGTTCCCAGATGGCATTTCGGGCGCTGTCATTGTTGATACATGTCCCCTAGTAGGGTCTAGTTCTGGAATCTGGCCATTTTCAGAAAGCTCCGGGTACCGGGGACCGTAGTAATCATCTGGATATTGCTTGTTCTCCTCCTCGGCTCCAACGACCATCTTATCTGACTCGCCACCAACAGTTTGCCCGTTGGCAGACTGCAGCTTCATTGCGTGTTTTCGTCGTCGCAGGAAGAATAACATGGCGCCTAGGATAACGATAAGAAGGATGAGGCCACCGAGAACACCCCCGACGATGGCACCAATGGGGGTGCTCTTAGAACTATCCGAGTTCTGGGTAGATGTTGATTTTGCACCTCCGGAAGCAATGACCGGAGTGCTTTGACTTCCACTTCCAGTGCGGGTAGCAGACCTTGTCGATCGCAGTGACGACGGCGCTGTGAAGCCAGACGTCCCTACCGTTGGGATCGCAGCTTTCGCTTGAATAGACCAGGTCCCGGATGTGAACTCAGGACAATTGCGCCTGGTCAATGAGGGGTTGTAATTCGAGGCCTTGACGCCAGCCGGACTTAAAGTCGCCCATTGACTCTTCAAACGCGTATAATCCCCCATTAAACTCGGGGTCCCGGTCGCAGAGCTCTTATAGGACACAAGTCCGTAGTTGCTCGCCTCCTGAGTCCACTCATAGATGATGTTTCCGGAGTAGCGGTCATTCATTTGCCGACCGAGTATGGCGACCTGATCATCAAAGGTTCGAAGGGGGGTATTGCCTGATCCCGTAACGCATCCCGTCTCTGAGAGGAATATTGGGATATTGTATCCATCGGCATCGTCGTACATCTTGTCGTATCCGGATTCGGTAAAGCTGGAGTCATTGCACCAACTGTATCTGTTGAACGCGTAGAAATCGGCGGCAATGGCGTCGCTGCCGCAATCGAAGTAGTTCTGCTGGAGCAAGCGAATGCTCTCTCCATCAGCTAGCAAGACCTGTTAGTTGCCATGACATTCCGTTCCGAAGAGCATTAGACATACACGCGGAATAACCTATAGGGATTTTTCGATACTGCATCAAGTCTCGGTATGCTTTCATGTCGGCGATGACGGCTTTCGCATATGCTGCGGCTCCAGTAGATTTCACTACTTTCCATTAATATCGCCAGATTCCAAAGCGAAAAGGTGTCTGGTGACGCCAACTGGTTGGCGCTATCCAAATGAGCACCTAACTTACCGTCATTGACGATCTCGTTGCCAGCGAAAAAGCCAAGCAGGTTGTCGTACTGCTGAAACCCGTCCACGACTTGGGCGAAAGCATTGCGCAATTCTTTTGTCCACGAAGGATCTGCCTATAAGTCCAAATTCAGCGGCATTTCTCATGTATTTACGCTCGATAGGCTCGAGGCTGGAACGCCCATACCCTATTTATTGAGAAAGTCGGGGTAGACATATCCACCAAAACATATATCCCGGCATCGGCGAAGGCATTCATGCATGTATCGTGGTTTAACGTGGGGTCGACCGAGTATACTCTAACGACATTTGCTCCTAGCTCTTTTATGAGTGGCGCATCGATTTTGCATTGGTCGCCGTTCACGAGGTTATTAACGTCGGTAATTGAGTGCTGGTATGCAACACCTGAGATAGACATTAGTTCAAGGAATCCATCGAAGGGAGTGTGCTGGTACTGCACCTTTGACGTAGAATTGGTCACCATCGCTGGTGAAGAACTTCGCTCCCTTAGCCTCGATAGTTGGAATCGCGAAAACGGCGGAGTAGAAGAGGGCAGACGCAATGAATCGCATCAACATTAACATAGCGCGCGAGTTTGTGCACGGAAACTGGTCAAAATATTATGTCCATAAAGACATCTGAGCCGTACTAGGGGAAACGATCGTAGAGAATCTGAAAAAAGGGAAAACGGACGGATTCCGGAGGGTGCATGGGAGGCTTACTGTATACTATATAGGACCGAATGAAATCCGTCCAACTTCATTTCGTGTTGCAGTGGGGATTGGATTTCCACATGGTTTAGGGTCCTTGAACAGTTCTTGGCGGAAGACTCCTGCCAATCGGGGCGGCTCATAGTTGTTTCAGCCACTCCAGGCGGTTTAAGTTTGGGGCGGAGTGTATGGGCCAGATATAGGTCTCGGCGCTGAATTCGAAGGATGAGAAGCAACGCAAAAATGCTGTAAAGAATACGGACGGGGTTTAATAGTGCATAAGAATAATAGCCTCGACTATTGCCACGTGCGAAGGTTATGGATAGAAAAAGACGAGTGGTGTTGTGGAAATGTCAAACGTCCGTCAGTCTTCAGGCCAGCCGCGCTAACTGTTTCTAGCGAGACACCAGTCCATCACGAAGGCACGGCAACTCGCACGAGATGGGAAATTCAAATGAGGGAGGCATCGACTAAAGGATCTACGGACAAGCATTTCTAAAGATGGCCACAACGGACATCTCTACTTCGGAAGAACGATGTGTATCTAAGAATGTGATCACCGAACCATCTCCGAAACCCCGAACCATCTCCCCGACGCTATGCTGTCGCATAACCATTGATACCGAGGCAGGCCATCTGCATTGGATAACGCATTTCTTGTCCAAATATGTGAACCGCCTCGCCCTCCACATCAACCGCGCTTCTGCCATGCAACTCCACCTCTCTTCCTGAGCTAGAACAAAGTGGAAGATAATCCTACATGGCTTCTGTGATGCTTAAAACTGACCACCATACCCCATATAGAGTGGGCTAAAACGTTCAAAAAGACATCTCTACATATATTCCTCGTTGAAACAACGGACTTCTCGTTCGAGTAATAAATTCCCCCTTCATGCGCACCAATTGATTCCTACGAACTCCACCCACCTCCAGGACTCTAAAATGATAAACACATCCGGTGATAGCATCTGCGGCACTAAAAGCCCCGGCAAAACCTCTTATAGCGTAGGTTTGTGTCTCTCAAAGACACGGTATCTAGATTAAACCTGTGCGAATTACCCCCCGCCCGAAAAAAGAGGGATTATTATGAATGATGAGAATTTCGCGCATACGTCAGCTTTGCGATTACGACTAAGGAGGAGCGCAAGCCGAATTTGGTCAAGACTTCAAGTAATCTTGAAGAACATTCCTTCCCTTACGGGGGCGTTCTTCCCAAAAAAATTATTTCAACATGCGTGATGTGTCTGCAAGAGCGTTGTGGAAAATGTAGAGCCTAATGATAGACTGTGTGTGGATTGAAATCGAGGACAGTCTCCCAAAGCTTGTATATAGTTGGGAGCCGCGAGAAAGGTGTGGAGATCGTATAATACTAGCTATGCGAAAATAGGAATCAGGTAGAAGTTCCATGGAAGCCAGAAGTACGGACCCCGACCTTTCAAGACCTTTACTCAATCATCGGAGTTTAGCTAAATGAGCCTGAATACTTTCTCCTAGCGTCTTCCTCTCTAGAGAAAGAGCTGATAATCGCTTAACGGAAGGATGTGCGATCCGCGCGCCGGACAAACTGATCTACGATAGAGGTGGAGAATGTCAGGACGATGATGACCACTAGAACAATGGCAAATGAAATGCTTCGGAAAAGTGAATTGGAGGGCTAGACACAAAGGGAGGATCCGCGATGAAATGAGCGTGGGATGAAGTATGAGCGGAAATCCAACGAGACATATATCGAAGAAACCAAAGAAACGACCGTATACTGGCATAATAATACAGAAAAGGCGTAGGCAACGCTATGCAGAATATAAAAAAATTCCAAACACACAATGCATTGAAGTCAAAAGGTGGGACCCAGTAAAGGAAAAGGAGACGGGGGGGCAGGGCCATCCGTTGTATATAATACTAAGCATCCCACCCACCTCAACACAAAGTGGGCAAAATTCCAACAGTTAAAATCCTAGCTGCGGTACAATGCCATAAGAAATTCCGAATCTTCTCGTCTAAACGCCGCTAGGCGCCGTGCTACTACTTTCGCTTCAAACATGGGCCCCGTCTCTGCCACCTGTTGCTTTACGATGAATTGGCTTGCTGCGGTGCGGGTAGCGGCTTGGAGGTTCTTTGAGCTGGTCTTTATCGGCCTTTGAAGTAGAGCGCGTGACGGGTCGATTAGGAGAGATCTTAGAGATCTTAGAACCCATTCCGGACTCTGGCGGAGACGAAGAAGCGGGCCGTTTCGGGAAGATGATGATCCTGGTTATGGTGAATATGTTGGTGTTTATGGGGACTCTTCTGAGAAGAATGGGGTGGCAATAAGATGTGAAATGGGGCGACTATATGCATAGGTCATGACTTACGGAGGCGCAGGTTCTGGCTCTGGCTCCGGGTCTGGGTCAGGTTCGGGGTCTGGTACCTTGCGATTGTTGCTTTTGGAAGACCGAGTTCTGTAACGAGAGTTCGTCTTCTTATCAAGTATGATGACGCTAATAAAAAGTTGGTTAGGATATACTTGCGTAGTGCAATGTTCGTCTACATACGGCGGTGAAACCGGTGGCTCGGGCTCAGAATCAGGATCAGGATCTTGGTCTGAAAGGTGGGGTGATTCGGGGTTGTCGCCCAAAATGATAATCCTAGCCTCTATCAGAAGTTTTCTTTTCCAGATTTAATACGGTGATGGGGAAGGGAAATACTTACGGTGGGGCCGCTGGTGGTTCAGGGTCTTTGTCCGGATTGCGCTGTCGAAAATTCCCTCTGGATTTCTTTGACTTCAAATGCTTTGTAGTGAGATCTCGAGACATATTGGAAGAAGGTACTGTTTATATAAAGGGCAGAATGGTAATTTGGCTGGGGTGACGATGTGGTGCAGGGAGGCTTCACGAACAATTGGCAACGCAGAAGTCTGAAGAATACTGAACGCTGTGCTTGTCGGTGATGATAGTGGGAATTGAGGCTCTTTATCTTTATACAAACCATTTCGCAACTTCCGTCTCCTTTAGACCAGAGGCTACACTCCTGTTTTACATTCGTGATACATCCGCTCGTAACATTGACAATCCCTCGCATATGCGCTCCCCTAGCCAGCCCCATGATGGACTCGACTTCTCATGGCGTGTAGTCGTCTCGAGCACCCTACCCAGCTGCACTGACATCGATGTCTGTCTAAATATGGATTACGCGAAGCTCGATCCGGCCCCTGTCTCAACTTCTGGGAAGCTTGATTTGTGCGTAGCTAATCGGTTACGATTTGACTAAGTGAGGCTCAAAGACAAGCTCGGCCGTAGGTTTTCCAAAAGGGGAACCGACATGCGAGTTTAAGTAATCGGTCCAAGAGGTAAGGCAGGACATCATGAGGTAGAGTTCTGGTGTGGAGGTTCGTCGCGGCGTGGCTGTGTTGCGGCTCTGAGAGTCATGTGCCAGCGGAGATTAGCTGACTGATGAGGCCAGAGGATTTTGGCCTCTCGCGAGATGACATCGAACTATTGGTGGGTGCTGATCGTGGATTGGCAGATGAACGAGGTGGAGTGCGATGATATCACCTCGTAGGGCTGAGCGGGTGAATGTGTAAGCTTGGTGGTTGGCCCGCCTTATCCCGTATCCGGCTAATCTTCCCCCAGATCTCAAAGTGCCTGCCAAGAAGCACACATGAGGTGTCGCTCTTCCCGTGTGTTGTACGACGTTCGACCATCTCCAAATCTCAGCATCTTAACCTCCTCTGCGGGCTGCTGATTAATGACCGGCCATTTGGCCGTCTGTAGCAATGTCTCCGCATTGCGCTACCTTCGAGACTACGGCGCTGCAAGCTGAAAGTCCCGTCGCCGGCGTCGTTGCCTATCGGATGTTTGACATTCAAACTCCTCTCAGCCCTTTGGCATGTCTTACTAGCGCAGTTGTCGACTTTGCGGCATTTGAATGAGCTCTACGAGAATCATATTGATGACGATCTTCAGCCACTTCGTCATGCCCTCTATCGTCCCTTATCGACTCAAATCGTTCAACACCTGCGTCAAACTTCCGGACATGCTCTCCCTTACACGAGCATTCTCCTCGCCAGCACCACAACATTAGAAATCTCAAAGACCCGAAATCTCGTATACGATAGCAATACCTTGATAGTGGGCAGGCCAAGAGACATTCTAGGTGTTGCAAAGCGTGCGGAACCCGGAGAGTCGGCCATCCTCCAACTGCGGAGCTCCGAAACGAGAATAAGAGTGCTTCGCCTGGCTGTTTTCAGTATGTTAGTAGCACCGGCTTTCGGCCATGTCACCGCCTCGTTGGCATGCAAGGTCGAAGTATTCTTAGAGCTAAAATAGGTGATCGTCTGGGGTTTTCGTCCATTCATCCGCCTAGACATCCAGCCTTGCGACTGATTCAGGAAAGTCGCATGCTCGCGCAGCCCGCGAAGTACTGCAGGCCCTTGGCTGGCATTCTTCCTGGGGGAAATAATCTCAGACTACTTCAACGAAACCTTAGAAGCTTCGTCGTTATCACGTCTTCTCCAACCGACCCTATAAACTCAACATACTCCGCCCCACGCTGCGGCACAAATAATCTCACACGTAATATTTGTCAGAACTTACTTTTAACCCACCTTCAGGGGCGGCAACACGCTGGTCGATCCTTCAGCCTAGTGGATGGCCTGGGCCATGTGATCGGTATCGCCGTTGTTACCTCCCCTCAAAATGGTTTCATTGACATTGATATTCATCGTAGTTAAACCAAAATTGTTAACACAACATGGTCGCGATAATTCAGCTTCCCCTTTCGGCCTGTCAACTGTGTCCTCAAATAGCAGCTGTGGATTCTATATTAATGAGCAGGCAAGTCGACCCTTCAACATTCGGTTCGCTCCTACGAAGGTATTTCCCTAAGTTTGGCGAGTACAATTTACGATATATTAGCGACTGAGAGGGATACTGAGGGGCCTTTGTAGACTGTTTCCTATTAGTATCCAAAAGGCAAATGACGCGAATCATCCGCAAGGTTGCATTTCAGAGCACAGGCTTTCACATATTTCGCTTTGTCGAGCCTACACCAAACTCAACTGTTTGGCACGCCGTATGCCAGTCCGTGGTAGGTCCTCGCAATCTAGCGAAAGAGCAATGTCTTATCACGGAGCCTGCCTGCTTCACGCCAACGACCACCTTATCTCGGGAGCAATGTATTTACAGCATGTTCGTGTAGAACATTGAGCGAGTTTACCAGCATACCGTATTGAACTTCACAGTGGAGGTCCACGTCCACGACTCGTTCCTGTAACGTTTCACGCACGGCTAGACAGCTTGTGGGTGAGGCTTGCTATCGCCGACCAATCATCCCCAGCCAGCCAATCAATTAGCAGTGCGCGCATTACCCTACTGAAAATTGATCCTGTGCTTTGCGAATATTCTCAACTTAGTGTTTCTCTATGCATGAGTATCTCATTGCCAACACTGTCGTTCGCATCTCATCTCATCTCATTCGATATTGCGATCATGGCCATGCTTCCGTCGTTCGTCTACAAGGTGAGTATCCTGGCCCAGGATCTGGTCATCATTCCATGTATACTCCTAGTGCGGGGTGTGGGAGGCAGAAGAGTCAGCAGCCGAAGACAACGAAGAGTGTGGCTATGGCTTGTTATTACAGGCCGGTTCAGACTGCGATTCAGGGGATGGGGGTATTGAGCCTTTGCATCGCTTGCTGGAATGGTCAGAAGCTTAATGAGAGGCTGCATGTGGCCGTGGAGTTTTAAAGTTCCTCATCTTACCTACATACTCTTCTTGCAAACTGAGGGGCTCGTCTTGGCAGTGAAAAGGCTTGAGGTGCGATGTGGCTTACTCTTTGTTCACGCCCCTCGGCAATCGACTTGGCGATCCAGGAACCATTTCACGTCATAGATCGGACAGGGATGCGAACTGCAGCTGCCCAGATCGCAGCGCGTCACCAAGTCTCCTCACGACTTTCCTCTCTTATCTTCCTCTGTTCCTGCTTGTCCCTATTTCTTCTTGCTTCGGGACTATTGTTACAGGAGTGGACACATCCACATCTTGAGGCTACGAACCAGAGCTGCATCGCCCAATTATATTGTATCAAGTATTTCACCGTCCTTTAGCCACACTCAGGGGCCTACGCCATCCCTCACATTTTACAAATAGCCTCCTTACCCAGCATCCATTCTCCATCTCTCCTTCAATTACCAAAATGCCACCTAAAAGAAAAGCAAAATCCCGCATCCCTGCCAACGCCGCCTCCGCAACGGCCTACACCGATGCCTCCGGGAGCATGCCAAACAAGCGCTCCAAAAACTCCAAGCCTTCCAACGCCGCACTACCCAAAGAAGCAGAACAGGAATTCGACCACTCCCGCCCGGAAGGAAAAGCCGGAATCGTAGATCGCCGCTTCTATCCTTTCGAAATGAGCAACGAACGCTGTGCGATGTATAACTCAAATGAAATCCCGCGACCAATGGAAGTGCTGAATAAGACTTTGGAAGAGACGGGTTCAGAGCGGCATAAGGTAGGGAAAGTAACAGGAGAGGCCGTAGTACATTGGTTTAAGCGCGATTTGCGTGTCCGAGATAACACTGGGTTAAGCCTTGCCGCGGCGACTGCGAAGGAAAAGGGAGTCGGTGTGATTGGAGTTTGGATTCTTAGTCCACAGGATTGGGAAGCGCATTTAGTGAGTCCTGCGAAATGCGATTTTGAGATCAGGAGTGTGGACGTGTTGAGGAAGGAACTTGCGGAATTGAGCATCCCGTTGTGGATCGAGGTTGTGGAGAAGCGGAAAGATATCCCCTGGAGATTAACAGCATTGGCACAGAAGTGGGGTGTTAAGAATGTGTACTGTAATTTGGAGTATGAGCCGGATGAACTCAGGAGGGAGGAGAGATTGGTGAGGATGATGCTGGAGAAGGGGATTGCGTTTGAGCCCCAGCACGACGATTGTGTTGTTCCTCCTGGCAGCTTGAAGGCGGGAAGTGGGAAACAATATGCGGTGTATAGTCCTTGGTTTCGAGGATGGATTGCGCATCTCCATGCACATCCGCATCTACTTCAGGAACGTTCTATGCCGGAAAAGAACCCGGATGGCTTCCGCGAGAAATACGCTTCTTTGTTTGACTCTAGAGTTCCGGACGTACCAGAATCGAAATGCCTTTCCCCGGATGATAAGCAACGTCTCACATCGCTATGGCCGGCCGGCGAGAATGCAGCTCTTGAGCGCCTTGAACGATTCTTGAAGGAGAAGGTTGGCCGATATCAAGCAACGCGTAACTTCCCCGCTGAAAACAGCACGGCGAGGGTGAGCGTACATCATGCGGCTGGAACACTGGCGGCGAGGACGAGTGTGAGGCTAGCGAGAGATGTGAATAGTACGAAAAAATTAGACGGAGGGAATGACGGGATCAAGGGGTGGATAAGTGAGGTAGCCTGGAGAGATTTCTATCGACATGTACTTGTTAATTGGCCATACGTTTGGTAAGAATCTCCTCTCTCCTTTCTCCACAGGCCGTCTACCCTCACAAACACACTCTAACCCCACTAGCATGAATAAACCCTTCAAATACGAATACACTAACATAACCTGGGAATACAACCCCCACCACTTCACCCTCTGGACTACCGGCCGCACCGGCTACCCAATTGTTGACGCCGCAATGCGCTGCCTCGCCTCTACCGCCTACATGCACAACCGACTGCGCATGGTCACTGCCTCCTTCCTTGCAAAACACCTACTGCTCGACTGGCGTCTCGGCGAACAATACTTCATCTCGCACCTCATTGACGGGGACTTTGCTTCTAATAACGGGGGTTGGGGGTTTTCGTCTTCCACCGGCGTAGATCCCCAGCCATATTTTAGGGTGTTTAATCCGTGGTTGCAGAGTGCGAAGTTTGATGCTAAGGGAGAATTCATTAGGACGTGGGTGGAGGAGTTGAAGGACGTGAAGGGGGAGGACGTTCATAATCCGTATGAGGCTGGGGGGAAGGCGGCGGAGATTGCGGAGAGAAATGGATATCCGAGACCAGTGGTTGAGCATAGGATGGCGAGGGAGAGGTGTTTGAGGAGGTATAAGGAGGGGATTGGAAGGGGCACTGCCTGAGTGGTTTGAGGGGTGTGGGAGGGATGCTTGGAGTTTGATGGATAATGTCAGTTCCAATATACAATGTACAATAATATGAGCAGGATTTCCGTTTTTCATTTCTCAATAAGTCTATATATTTGGAATCTTTCGAACTGCATGATGACAATTTTGGAAAATTTCCATTCATCGCTCTCTGTTTACCCCATGCGAACTTCAAGTATAAACTCACTTACAGTTCCATCCAATCCCAAGCCCCTCACCCTAGACAGGTATTTAAACCTCCTACTCCTCACTCTCAAGAACTCTGCACACAGATCTTCTGCGCGGACCCGGTATCGAGAATGATAACGGGAAATCAACATATGCGAGATTTACATAGCAGTCGCAAGGAATGCGCTAAGCGATGTCAAGGAGTGGGACCAGGCGAAGGGTGATGACCCACACCACGAATCTTCCTTCTCCGATATTCGCAGACGACCATTGACAAAATGTCGATAGAATCCACGATGAGCGTTATTGTCCGCATGTTAGGATGGGTCTCTGGCATAATCATTCCTCCTCACCCCTCAATCTCATTTCCTCTGGCCGCCTTGCCATCGCTATATATATGGATTCAAATCCGTATGGTGATAATAAAAAAGAAGCGCAATAAACATGGCAATGGCTCTCAGAAAACCGGCCTAATTCCTCAACTATGTGTAGGAACCAAAGCAGTATGCGCTAAACCTGATAGCTGTTCGCCTCCCCAGCCCCGGGGTCCTGCATCACTTCCTTCAGCTTAAAATCCACGTGGGGGTTTCGCAAAAAAGCGGAACATATTATATATCGTGATGAGCAAAACACTGGTAGCCACGACTCTACGCATACAGAAAGCTAAGCGAAGTATCTGATGAGTTTCAAGTTTGAACCTATTAGAGCATTGGAGGAATGTAATCTGGAGCAGGGACCAGAGGCCTACGAATATAATCTATTATTCTAGAAAGTCTTCTTCTGTATTACGATGTTCGATGAAATAAAAGCAGGATGCTTAAACGTGTTATATATATATAAATTTAATCAGAGTGCACTATGACGCATAACATAAATTAGGGGTTTGAAGGAACATATCAGAGGCCTCAAAGTTCGCCATCTTAAACATGACCCGAAAGGGCATTCGACCCGTTAAACATTCTAGAAAGCCGTCTGCTCTTATCCCTGTTCCGTTAACAAGGCACGATAAACTTATGCCATACTATTAGCACATCTTCTTAAAGTACTCTACCTTTACATATCCTGCATTATGACCCCCAAAACACAAAACATAGGACAGAAACCACACAATTCACCACAGTCCTTAATCCAGTGCACCCGTCTACCAGTCCATTAAGCGTTCCGTTCTCTCCTCCCCTCCTCCCCTCTAACGACACAGCACAATAACCCCCTACGATACTATCAGCAAACCTAACTGCAAAAATACATTACGCACATATCGCAAGAATAAGATGGACCACTCGGTAAAAGCGTTTTATTTCTAATTATCCACGTACACACTTTTTCTTACCCTTGACTCCCTGGTCAAGAACAGAAGCCCCTCCCCAAAAAAATAATCTTAAGTATTGTACATAAGAGGTGTGTCAAAGCCAGGTATCACCAGGTATCAACAGCAGCATCGTCAACACTATCAACCCTCCAGCCACTCATACATCCACCATCTATCTACCACGCACATTGCGCCTCTATTCCCCCACCTTCCTCCCACTAACCGGCCCCTGCACTACTCCCTGCATCCCTCCTTGCCCCTGCGCTATCAAGGGATATGGACTCAGATGCGCCTGCGTGGGAGCTGGCGCTAATGGTGGCGGGCCACTCGACTTAGGACGCGGGATCGTGCGCGGACCATATGGACTCGGGTACGTCTGTTGCTGGGGCTGAAGCGGCATGGGAGCGGGAGCAAGTGGCGGCATCGCGGAGCGCGAACCTTGGGGCTGCGCTTGGTTTGGAGTCTGAGTTGGAGTTTGGGTTGGGGGTTGGCTCTGGGGCATGGTGCTGGACGGGGGGGCTGCTAGCGGGGAGGACTGGAGTAGCATGGGTTTGGGACCGGCGTGGGTTTGAGACGAGGGTGGTGGAAGAGTAGGAGCTGGGGCGTATGCAGCGTTGGGAGAATGCAAGAAGGGACTACTCATGTCGAGCATCTGCGGCACTCCCACCATACTAGATGGAAGTATTGAATTCTCGGCGTCGTCAGTCTTAGCGAACGGATGTTCCCGGCGGCGATCTGAGGAGGCCGCCTTACTAGACTTCCTGCTCATGGCTGAAGATTTAGGAGTTGCGGTTGCTTCGGTTTTATTGGCATTTTCCCTAGCCTCGAGTTCCCTCTGTCGCGCTTTGCGTTCGGCCCACCATATCGTCATACTCTGACTCCGCTTCTCACTCTTGACCCGTGGCTTGCGTTTCGTTCCTGTAGTTGGCGTAGCTGATGACTCCCCTGCGTATGAATTTCCATATTGGCTCAGCGGAGTTGCATTCATGTACTTATCCGGTGCCGCACGCTGTTCTGATTTACCGAGACTTGTTGCGGGAGCTGATTCAATAGTTGGTTGCGGCGTCGCCTGAAAGACAGTAGCAACAGGCACTGCATGCATCCTCGGTGGAGGGTCACTAGTTCCATCGAGCCCTCCTACCATAGATTGTTGAGACGGGACTCGGGATCCAGATTCAAGGGAGAACTGATTCTGGCCTTCGCTAAGAGATTGCAGAACTGCGGGCTTAGCCTCGCTGGGTGCTAATAGGTTGTTCTTCTTTCGAGGGCCCTTCTTGATTCCATAGTCAGATCGCCGGCCATGATTCTTACTTCCAGCCGGTCGACCCCTCTTGCGATAGAGCTCATTAAATCGCCGAACATCGTTTGCCTGCGCATCAGGTGAAGACCCTTCATCAGCTGAGCTCGTGAAACCTGATTCCTCTCGCATTTCTTGAATTCGTTGCGGAAGTAGGGCGCTTGCAGCTCTCGCACCCCGTCTGCCACGGCCTTCTGGTTCGGGCGTCTCCGAAGCTGCAGCAGCTTGGTTGAAGCGACTGACACCCTTTTTTCTCGCACCGCCCCATCCGCTGTGTCGCTTGGGCGTATTGGCGCCAGTACCTTCTTCGCTGAGGTCGAATTTCTTGGCTGCTCGACGTATGCGCTTTGATGGCCGGCCTTCATTGTCCTCTTCTTCTTCCTCTTCGTCTTCACTTGGGGCGGCAGAACCAAGCATGTCGCGAGCGCGGCGCTGGCGGAGCTCTCTACCACCCACCTTTTCAGCGCCGGGGCGCTGTGCAAATGGGTCCTGATTACCTGGTCCCTTCTTTGGGTCGTAGGCGTACCCATACAGATCAGCTTCTTTCATGTCTTCATAAACAAGGGGGTCCAGAGGGATCCGCCCTCCTTGGGCCGGCTTCTTTGGCGGGTGAGCATGTGGCGCAGTCTGAGAGGGTGAGCAAACATGTTGGCAACCCGACGATTTAACACTTACTCTTGCATCGAGCATTAAGTATTCATCTTGCCAAGCCTTAAGAATTTTGAAGGTGTTTTCAGCCATCGCATATAGGCTTGCCGTGCTTCGCTGAGAAACCGGGTATTTGGTGAGTGAGGCGATGATATCCTGAACGTTCGTCATGGGCTTGAACTGGGTTTTGAGAAGATAGTCTGCTTTGTCGTCACATTCAGACTCATTTGGTGGCTCATAGTCTTCAACCCATGGTCCAAGTAGATCGGAATCGGAGAGTACATCATCTTCAGGATCAAGCAACGCAGGGACAGCTGCCTCGGCTGGAGTTGATGCTGCATCCCGACCTTGGGGAGTTTGTGTTGAGGATCCGCGAGGCAGAGATATCTTAGGAACAGGGAGAGAGCCTTGACTGATAGCTTTGTTCAAGGCAGTCGTCAACTGCAGCCCTGAAAGCACATGTGGCGGTGGCGAGCCGGGCGGCGTGGTGGACTCAACCGGCATAGCTTGCCTCCTACCCGGCTCTTCTTCTTGGTCGGAATCGTTGGCGTCGGCCATAGTAACATCCTCTCTCAGGGCCTCATCATCGTGATCTGAATCCCTGGCATCGAGAAGAGTCTCGTGATTAGAGGAATCCTCTTCATCCTCTTCCATAAGGGGAAAGGCAGGAGCGGCATGGCGGGTTGGTCGGACTTTCTTGGGGGATATCTCTCTTGGTACAGCCGAGGAGGCACCTCTTCCTCCGCCTCTGCCGCGGCCGCCTCGACTGCCACGACCTCCACGGCCTCCACGGCCTCGGCCGCCGCGGCCTCTTCCCGTAGTGATAGTTACAGGGCGAGATTTGGGTGGCGGTTTCACGTCTTCCTCTTCCTCTTCCTCTTCCTCTTCAGAGGATTCGGAAGGTTCGGAGCTTTCAGAGCTTTCAGCGCTATCCATTACTCCCCTCATATAAAGAGGAGCGGGTGCACGTGCAGGTCGGCCAGAAGCCCTTGTGGGTGCAATGGTCTTAACAGGGAGGTTGATTAGGAAATCTTGTGGGATGTTGAATACCTTCAGCACGGGTTTTGCGTAGTGAGCAAAGATCTCCTCAATATCGGGCCGGGGTGAGTTGGGAACATTAATAGATTCATATGTCGAGACATTGGATGAAGAGCGGCGAGTGCTCTTTCGCGTGATGCTTGGACTCGCCTTTGGGGTGTGGTTGCTTTCTCCCTTGGCTGAAGCTGACTTGTTGCCGCGTCCGGATCGGGTGCCTCGTACAGGCTGGTAATCCTGCTCAGCGTTTCGTCGCTGCGAGCCACGCACAGGAAACTTCTTCGGCGGAGCCATGAAGAGATGGTTTAAAAAAGCATGCAAGGATTTCTTGCGATGGTCAATGGGAATTGATAACTGTGATACTCTGCATGTAGCGTGCCGAAGTGCTCACAGAGGCGTAGTGCGGATCCAAGCCCGTCCGGGTCAGGGTGACAGGCCAGATGCAGAAATAGATGAAGGAGATGAAAACCTCGCGCGAGCGATGGTAACAGCCGCAAGATAGGCGCAAGACGATAGAAAAGATCGAATCTTGCAAAGAGAGAGAAGAGAGGGATTGGGACTGGGGATTTGGGAGAGAGGGAGATGCGGTGATGGTGATGGGATCTTTTGTTCTGTGGCTTAAGACCAGACTTGGTGGCTCCTGCGCTCCAGCCAATCAACCCAAGGTGCGCTAGTGACTGGCATCTGTGAGGTGAGGGATGAAGACAGCAGTGCGGCTTGCACATGCACTCGAATCCTGCAGGTTCTCCTGCGCTCCGCTACCTACCACCGTCTTCTACCAGTATCTTTGAAACCCATTGTTGCGGCCGCCATTCTCGCCTTTGTAGTGCCTATCATGCCTCCAAAGACAGTAGAGGAGCAGCTCGCAGAGCTTGAAATGGAGGCCGAGGCGCCAGCTCCCCCGCCACTCAAGAGCTCTCGAGCTCCAAAAGGACCGAAAGCACCACGGAAGAGTGCCGAGCAGGAAGATGATGCATTGAAAGAGCTGGAAGAGCTGGAGGCACTTGAGAAATTCCAGCGCCCAGAACTGCCGCGTCCGTCTAGTCGCCCAAATACGCCTAAAGTGCCGTCTTCATCGACCAGCTCCAGCAATCCTCGTAGAGCGGGCATCGCAACCCCATCGTCGACTGGCTCGGCACGGACGAGCGAAGAGAAGGCGCAACCACTGCGGAAGTCGGCTGAGAGTGCGAGGTCCTTCCACCAGAGCTTTGCCCCTACGGAAGAAGAGCCCGCGAAGCCTGCACCAGAACCCAAGCAGGCGAGTGGTGGATGGTGGGGAGGATTCCTTTCTACTGCAACTGCAACTGCGGATGCTGCTCGGAAACGCGCAGAAGCAGCATACAAGGAAATCCAGAAGAACGAAGAAGCACAACGGTGGGCCGAGCAGGTTCGCGGCAATGTTGGTGCTCTGGCTGGCATTGGTACGATCCAACCTCATTTCTTCACTATTCAGACAGCGCTCCGAATGGAGGCACCTCGACCATGTATCTAACAGCATGCAGGCGGCGAGCTCCAGAAACGCGCCCTCCCAACCTTCACAAACATCCTCCACACCCTCGCGCCCCCAATCTCCCAGCACGAGCGTCTCCAGATCCACATCACACACGACCTCGTCGGTTACCCCTCACTGGACCCCATCATCTACCAAACCTTCTCCACTGTCATGGCACAAGTTGAAGGCGGTGACCTCCTCGTCATCCAGCGTGGCTCGGAATCCACTCACCGTCGTGGCTCAATGGACGGTTTCCGAGGCGGAGGCAGCAGCGGTTGGAACGACGGACCGTGGTGGCGACACACCGAAAAACGCGATCTGAGCGTCATCAAAGGCCTGCCAGAGGGTACCAAGCTGGCCCGCGTGAGCGCAGAGTCCTACGCAACCGATTTCTTCGCATCTCGCGGCGGTGTCGAAGAAGCCGCAAAACAAGCCACTGAGATCCTCAGTGAAACAAATCCCGTCCGAAGCAGCGACATCTTCCTTTCCCTCCAAGCAATCAGCTACGAAGCGCCTACAGACCTCTTTGGCGAGGCATCGGGGTCGTCAAATGTGGATGAGTCTGGGATTCAAGAACATAAAGAACGAGACGAACTCGTTGCTTTTGCAGTGTATCTGCACGACCCGATACACAGCATCAGTTTCCGCGCTCTCTCGCAAGCGTTTCCCGCAAAATGGGTTCAGTGGCTTGATGCTACGAATCCGACTGGTGCTGATGGCCAAGAATCCCATCTCCCACTAGAGATACAGGAGATTATTGAAAGCGGTGGCGTGGATCCAAGAGAGTGGGTTGCGGAATGGATGGAAGAGACGATCAGTCTGAGTGTCGGAATCGTGGCTCAGCGCTATGTAGCGCGAAGAATGGGCGTTGGTGAGGGGGGTATTGGAAGGGGCAAGACGCGGGAGGCGGTTGTGGAAGCGGGAGGGGGCGAGGCCGCCAGAGCAGGTATTTTCTAAGATGGTTCTTATCGGGCATCTTTCGATAGGTATAGTGGATGTTTAATGGTTAGGCACCCGGTAAGAGTGAGGCGTATACGGAGTCCATCTGGGGCATATCATCATGGTGTGCAGGGGAGTCTGGGTTATTTCATCATATTTCGTCAATCTATGGGTATCATATATCCGCATATCGCCCGCCTGACGCCTTGCAATACTAGTTCTTCTCTCTTTCCTTGCGTGTGCATCTGTCCCAGGATCATCAATGCCTTTAGCTTCGCCTCTCCCCGAAACATAGAATATTCCCAAATCTCCAAGCTATAAAATCATCTCGATACTTTTTCCTCCTGAAACTTACCAAGTTCTTTTTCATTCCCTCTCTTCATTTCCAATACAAACTTCTCGCTCTTGGCCCCTTCCTTCTTAAACACCCTACGCCTTCGCCCTCCCTTCCTTCGCCTTCGCCTTCCCCCTATCCTTCTTCCCACCCTTCAAAACCTCCATATGTCCCGCCCTCTCCGCCAACAGCTTTTCTGTCTGTGTCACCAGGCCAGCGGCATTCTTCTTCTTGATCTTTTGCGCGGTTATGAGGGATGCTTTTTTGGGCTTGAAGACTCGATTTCGAGGCGTTTGTTTACCTGCATTGCGGGATTTGGTGGACGAGGAGGAGCCAGTGGAGCGCGGTTTCGATTTGGGGGCGTTTTGCGCCATTGTTGTAAGGAGACGCAGAGGTAGGAGGTTGTGGAGAGGTAGGTTAGTGGGGGATAGGAGAAGTGCCGGGTAGTGGTGTGGATTGTGGGTGGTTTGGAGATGTGGTTTTGGGCCGTAGCGTCCTTAGGAGTTCCAAAATCGCACGGTAGTAGAGTGCACGAGAAACTGTCTAGAGTCCTTGGATGTCGTTACAGTACGGGCAGCGGGGCGGGTAACGGCTGAAGGCTTTGTGACGGAGGTGTCGGCGAAATGCCCCAATATTGCAACTACAGTATTGCGACTACCACAGCTCGGACTAGTATCAGATAGTCTCTATCTTCCTTGAACAGGCTAGACAATATAACCAGGAGCAGTGGTGGCGCACAATTGCAGCGAGCGAGAGGTGGATGAATTCACGATTCGAAAAGTTCGTAGTGTTCGACTTACTTGGCATTTGTCCGGCCTTACTCATCCATCACCACCCTTCCCATTATTTAGCCGTTAGCAACGGCTCCTTCGCTCCCGTCCCCCCCCTCCACTAACCCGAGAACCCGTTTCCAAGCCCCAAAGCGCCTTTCCCAAAGCCCTTCTTAACTTCAAGCACAACTCAGGAGTAGCAAAAAACTTGCCAAGCCCCTCCGGAATAATTTCCTCAGCATCCGGCATCCCAGAATCTCCCAATGATTCCAGAATGATAGACGCAGGGGAACCTGCATCGCGTGCATCGTGTTCATATCGATAGATAGAATCGCATACTGTTCCTGGATCTTGGCCGCCGGCTCCAGATGAAAAAGGTTCGAGAAGTTAGGTCAGGTGGAGGGGGGGATTTACCCAGCCCAGCTATCCAGATCACAATACCCGGGATCGTCATATCAGACAGCGGCGTAGATGATGTCGCCGCGCCATGCCGCGCTTTTGGCGTTGGCACGATCTTTTTCCTGGGACTTGGACAGTTGTGAAGCGAGGCGAGCAGATTAAGGGGATAGAGCGGACGGAGGGCTAGGGATTGTATGTACGATACAAATACAGTTGTTTCCCTGTATGGTGGTGAGGGCTTTGTGGAACTCCGTCTGGCTTGAATCTTGAGCCTGGTGTTTACGCGCCTGTCTGTCACTCCCGTTACAATGGAGAAGTTCTCGGTTTCCAGATTCTGGATTCGTTGTCTTTCGTTGGTGTTACTAGTTGTCAATCTCGTCAATGCTCTGGGTCAAAATGCGACAATAGACTTCAAGGACTCCCGTGGCAGTGTGCTCCTCGCGACTCGCGACTCCAACGTCAACCTTGTTCTCGATGCGAAAGACTGGCCTGGCGTTCTTCGCGCGGCAATCGATCTCGCGGTTGACTTTGGACGTGTCACTGGGCTGAACGGAACAGTGACGGCTAAGACGTCTAGCAATGCGACTGTGGCGCGGAATGCGTCAATGATCTTTAATGTCACAGGAATTAGCAAGGATTGGAGCGTTGGTGGAAAGAAGGGGCGGGGAGAAGAGGAGGGGACGATTATTGCGGGGACAATTGGTAATTCCAGTCTGATTGACGGATTGATCAAGCGAAAGAAGATTGACGTCAGCAAGATTCAGGGAAAGTGGGAGGCTTTTGTCAGTGTGGTTGTGGAGAATCCCATGGATGGCGTTGATAATGCGTTGGTCATTGCCGGTAAGAACCTAACTCTCCCGCTCTTCTTAGCAAGTTGAAGAATATATGAGAGCTGACATTGCACAGGAAGCGACCGCCGTGGCACAATCTACGGCCTCTATGATATCTCAGAACAAATCGGCGTCTCGCCCTGGTACTGGTGGGCCGACGTTCCTCCTAAATCCCACGACGAAATCTACGCCCTCAAAATCACCAAAGTTCAAAAATCTCCTACAGTCAAATACCGCGGTTTTTTTATCAATGACGAAGCTCCTGCTCTGACCGGTTGGGCGAATACGAGGTTCCCGAAATCGAAATGGGGATGTGCATTCAACGCCGAATTCTACTCGCATGTCTTCGAGCTGCTACTGAGATTACGAGCGAATTACCTCTGGCCGGCGATGTGGAATGGCATGTTCAACGTAGACGACCCACGGAACCAACCCCTTGCCGATGAATATGCTATTGTCATGGGAACTTCGCATACCGAGCCCATGGTGCGCTCAACCAAGGAATGGAACAATTTTGGCAAGGGTATCTGGCAGTGGACCGAGAACAACGCCTCCATCTACCCCTTCTTCAAGGAAGGCGTGCAGCGCGCCAAGTCTTATGAAAACGTCGTTACGATCGGCATGCGTGGCTCGCATGATACAGCAATGAGTCCTGATGTTCAAACGGAGGTATTGCAAGATGTTGTGGATACCCAGCAGAAGATTATGGATGAAGTTTATGGAGATGCGAAAAAGGTGCCACAGATGTGGTGTCTGTATAAAGAGGTTCAGGATTACTTTGAGGCTGGAATGAAGGTCCCAGATCATGTTACCTTGCTATGGACCGAGGATAATTGGGGTAATATTAGGAGACTCCCAGTGGGAGATGAGACGAAGAGGTCAGGAGGAGCAGGTGTTTACTACGTAAGTTGCGCATACTCTGTCTGCACAATCAGAAAGAACAAGAGCGTAGACGTGGACTGACAAAGAATTCAGCACTTCGACTATGTTGGCGACACCCGAGACTACAAATGGATCAACACAATCCAGCTCCAGAAGACGCGCGAGCAAATGTACCAAGCAGTCCAGCGCCAAGCAACCGAAATCTGGATCGTCAACGTCGGAGACATCAAACCATATGAAATCCCGCTCAGTCATTGGTTCGACCTGGCATACGACATCGATCTCTGGGACGAGAAGAGCGCGCCCAAATGGCTCGAGATGTGGGCATCCCGCACTTTCGACTCCAAAGTCGCGAAGGATGTTGCAGCGGTCATGGATAAATACAGCTACCTCGCCGCAATGCGCAAGTTTGAGCTGATCGAACCGAACAGCTTCAGCGTGCTCAATTACGAAGAAGCGGATAAGATCCTTGCGCAATGGACTACTCTCGCCAAAAGCGCTCAGGCGGTATATGACAAGTTGCCTGCCGCCCAGCAACCAGCTTTCTTCGAAATGATACTGCATCCAGTGCTCGCGGGAGGAAACTTCGTCGATATTCAAGTCAGCTCTGCGAAGAACCAGATCTATGCCGGTCAAGGAAGAAACAGCGCGAACGTACTTTTTCAACGAGTTCTGGATGGAATGAAGACAGACCATCAGTTGACGACAAGGTATCATAGCTTGTTCAATGGCAAGTGGAATCATATGATGGATCAAACACATCTTGGATATCAAGGATACTGGTAAGTAACCCTTCTTCCATCTCTTTTGTCACAAGGATGAGGGGCTAATTGTGTTCATATAGGCAACAACCCATGCGCCAAGCCACTCCAGCCCTCCAATGGGTCATGAACCTCGAACGCTCGCTCTCTGGTGACATGGGCGTAGCCATCGAACGCAGCAACGGTTCCGTCCCTGGCGACGACAAATGGCACGACAATGGCGGCGGCAATCTAAACCTTGCTCCTATCTCGCCCTATACTCCTGCCCGCTGGATCGAAATCTTTAGCATGGGTACGCAGACCTTCAACTGGAATATCTCCGCCGAGCCCTTTGTCAAATTATCCCAGACTTCCGGCACCATGGCGCCAGACGGGAAAGACGTCCGCATTTACGTAGATGTTGACTGGAGCAAAGCCCCCACTGGCACTGGCAAGAAAACTGTCCTAAACATCTCCAGCTCGACAGACTACGGAACCCAATACTCGATGCCCACAGTCACCCTGCCAATAAACAACACCATACTCCCCTCGACTTTTACATCCGGCTTCGTCGAAGGCTCCGCGGAACTCTCCTTCGAAGCAGAACACTATACGCGACTCTCCGCAAAAGGAAACCTCACATACCAAATCCTGCCTGGTTACGGCCGCACGCTTTCTGCCGTAACTCTCAACAACCCTCTCGCGCCGTCCCTCACCTCAACAACTGCTCCAGCTCTCGAATACGATTTCTACACCTTCACGGCCACCACCTCCACCAAACCCCTCAATCTCACACTCATCCTCGCGCCCACTCTCAATACCTCGCCCAAACGCCCCCTAGCTTATATCGCGCAAATCGACGATAAACCAGAACAACGACGGCAATATGTCATCGATCAGAAACAGCCGAAATTCCCGGTAGGCTGGGAATCTGCGGTTGCGAATGTAGCTTGGTATAATACTACAAGTTGGGGTGAGGTGAAGAGTGGGGTGCATACTTTAAAAGTGTGGCTGGTGGAGCCCGGAGTGGTGTTGGAGAAGGTGGTGTTGGATTTGGGGGGCGTAGTAGCGAGTCATAATGGGCCGCCGGAGAGTTGGAGGGTCGGTGGGAGCCGGGGCGGGAATGGGACAGTTAGGCGGTGGCAGATGTGAAGAGAAGGAGGGGATGGGGAGGGCGGGGGCGGGTGGGTAACTGGTATTGGGTAATGAGGTATGGGTAATGGGTAATGTTTTATTTCGTGCAGACGCTTTCTCTTCGTCATATATGTATTTCTGATATACTTAGTGTGAAATATTTCCTTGTATCTTCGAGGCTGTCTAAAATATTATGTTCTGTACTTTTATGTCCCATCCTTCTCTTCTGCATCAATTCTCATGCGCTTTTTCGGCCTCCCTACGGGCATATAAATCCCCTCTCACTTCCCTCAATTTCCGTTCTTCGCTCTCTACCTCTCCGGTTCTTAAAATCAACCGGCGTATCTGCAATATGGCTACTACTCCTTAAAATTCTTTTAGACGGATTGGCTATGTCTCTGCGCCGAACTAAAACTTGCGCAAGGATTCAGCGTGTTCGGTTGCTGGTCTTTCTAAGATGTTGCGCCAGAGGACCGCAAGCACGCCCATCGGTCTGTTCAAAAGCCGCTCAGGGATAATCTATGCGGGTCTATGATCTAAACACCAACAACTTCGAACTTCGAACTCGTTCTGCGGTCTGGAAATACTGCCACGGCAAGGCCATGTGTTTCTGTTCGTCTAAAAACTCTACCAAGCGCAAACCAATGCTATTCCGCTGGTCTAAAACCTTGGCCACTCGTCTGTTACTAAGTCCAAGGTACGAACATTAGGGTATTTTTTTGCGTCTTCAGTACCGAATCTCATGGCGTACGATATGTAAGCGTGTGCTAGCCTTCTAAAAATCGTCTGATCCAAAAACAACGTTGGAAGTTGTTTGTTCGAAATTCACAAGTACCTAAGAATGCTCTTCAGATCGAAAAAGCTGGCTAGGGGATATGGGTCGCACAGAGCTCTACGATTTCATAATGGCTTGATAAGATGAGCCTGCTTGCCAATATCCTGCTCACTATGCTCTGTCACGAGGCGTAGTTTGTGGGAGTACATCTTTGCGCTTTCTCTCAAAAACTGAGGCAATTCTACGTCCATTATCGCTGGTTATCGCGCACCGCACTACTTGCGTGCGACCTGTATGTTATGGCCACTTCCTTGACAGAGCCCAAGTGATATCGCAATATATCTGAGTTTGCGTGAATCTCTTGGGATTGCCTGTTGAGAAGTCGCGAGGTGTATGAATAATGAACGTTTATCGGTGGAATCGGGAGTTATAGATGTGTGGAGAGGCTTCGTAGTCACCGACCGCAGGAAGGCAAATGAAGGCGTACATTTAGGGTATAAGGTGCGGATTTGTTGGGGAATATTCGTCGCGTTGTTAGCAGTGCTGAGGGCACTGGTTTCTGTAAGACCAGGCTTGCCGGAGAGGAGGCAGAACGCTAGCGGAGATAGTTGAATAAGTGGAGGTAGTGTTGGAGGAAGTTGCTTTGCGTCTGTCTGTCAGTTACTGTACAAGTTAGCTTTTAGGTTGGTGATGGTTGGCACACACAGGCGGCGGGTTGCTGTTGTCGTGTTCTTTCTCCACGGCAAAAAATGGGATGTGTCTAGCCCCCTAAGGAAATGGTAGCAAGTGCTTAATGAGATGGAGCGCAAACTGAAGGGTAAGCTAAGTGGGTGTGGCCGATATGTAGGTGTAGTGAGCTTATTTGAGAGGCGCAAGCAGGCTGGGATTGCTGCGGAGAGATTCGCCTAACTGTATAAGTCAACTGTATATTGCAACTGCTGGTGCAAAAACCCGTATTGCGTAAGGAAACATACATGTGTCAAATAAACATCAGTCCTCGTCGTTTTTATACCTCCGTAGCATGCAAAAAACTCTACTCTCGCAACCTAGTACCTTCACAACAAAATTAATCTGGAGCGGCCAAAAGAAAAGAAAAATTCAACGCCACCACCAAGTATCGAACCCAAGGCCTTGATATACCAAAAAAGAATAGATATACACACAATATCCTAGGTTCACTTGTCAGTAAGTTTGGTGTCAACACGAATTTGCGCCATAAAGCAAACGAGGCGTGGTCTGGCAGTGGTGTATGTCCAGTGGGAGCCCATCTCCACTGGACGAGAAAACTGGAAATTACAGCCCTTATATAAATAATTTGAGTCAGAAATACTTAAGCAAGGGTGAAGTACCAGGGTGTTGTGGGATAGTGTTTTGGTCTTCAGACGTAATCAGGGAGTGAATGGCAACGCTTCTTTGGGAGACCGTGGGTTTATGCGCTAAGCTTTGCTGTCTTGCGAATGTTTTCATAAATCCCTTGTGGAGGAAAATCGGCCTAATCTACTGCATCTCCCGCCGCAGAACTCGTTCAACCCGTCTTGGCCTCTGACGTCTCACTCTATGAACCAAAACCCAATCTCATGAACTCCAAAGGCATGCCTCCCCTCCGTGCCATCTTCTGCTGACTTAATGCTCCTCTTGGTTCCCACCTACGACCCTGATCCTGCTACATATCCTCCCAGGAACTGGGGTAGAGGCACGTGCATTCATAAACGGTAAGCAGGGTTGCCACTCTCCAGGCATCTCAAAGGCCTATCGTACCTCCGTAGACATTTCTATTTCCTGCAAACATTTAGTCGTCGTCAAGACAGGATTGAAATCACCAGAGATGGCCAAATTCAATAAATCCGACTGCAAGTTGTATGAAAACGCCAGAGGGTGTAGAGAGAAATGGAGAGCGCATTGACTATTAGAGGGTGCTAGTAAGTGTCTCTCTGTCTTCTTGATTTTCTGTGAATATTCCGGTTTTGATGACATCTTTAGGGAACTACGAACTAACTCCATGCTGCAGTTTAAAAGGTCTGCGTCATATTCAAATCTTGCCAGTATACAGCATCCCAGAGTCTTCCAATCCTGTTTGACAAGCGCCTGAGGGGCTTCCTCCTATTCTTCAAGTACCAGAAGAAGACCCATTGGGGGTTACGAGACTTGCAAGAACAGGGAAGTGCTGAAAAACTCTCGCGGTGTATGTTTTTGGAAGCCTTACAGAGAGCAAAACACTTACTAGCGCCGATCCTACAAGGCTTTATGTTAGTGAGAGACACTATTCAACATGCGAGACAAAGCCCCAGCGACTCTATCGTAGCTCAAACACGAGCCCTTACGTCCCAGACACGAGATTCGATTTATCGCACATAGGCTCACAGATTGGAGTAACCCCCACCATGTCCACCCGATATGTCATACATCGAACCAGCTTATATTTCTCATACAGATCCTATGTCTATCCCGTGCGCTATCCTTCCGCTCTCAACGCCAAAAATATGCCCACGGGGAAATGCATCTACTTCCACCAAGTACATGCATATGCTGCAGCGATTTCGGGCCGTTACAGCTACACCAAGCCACGATCGATACGGCCGCTTGCCGGCTGGGGGAGTGGAGTGGGACTAGAGCTACATGTACGGGCAGCAGGCCAAGCACGGTCGGCTTGGGCTGGTTCTCGGGAGGTGCACAGGGCCTGATTTGGGCTGTTCTGTAGGCTGTGAAGTTGGATTGAGGCAGATGGGAGGGAGAAGTGGTTGCGCGGAAAGGGAAAAATATTCAAGATGGATTGAGAAATAACTGCGAGAAAATTGAGATGAGAAGCTAAAGATAAGTTTGAATATCTTAAAGGATCATACAAACTTAAGTGTGTGATAGTATGTTTGGAGTGAAGACGATAAAAACAATAATTAGGTGCGGATAACCTCTCGCTAATTCTCTTCAGCCCTTCTATGATCCCAGCCATTAAAAGCAAAAACGTGAATGACATTTCCTCCTGACTGTCATTCGTATACATCTGCCGTCCAACATTTTTCGGACACGGGTCAAGCTACTACTGACACGCCAAGGATATACCTATCTATCTCAGATTTGATCTAGTACGTTCTAAGATTAATATAACGCATATCCGATTTAGGTCGAGGGCTGGTTGCCAATCAGTCCTGGGGCTATGAGTAACAAGAAACATTGATACCGGTATTGAGTCAACAAAGTCCAATCCAACTTTAGCTAGCTCTGAAATCTTCAAGAAGCAAAACTGAACTAAGCCTACCCGCGGTCCCGGTCATGCTTGCTCGCAGACCGGAAGTGCGGTGGCGCAACCGATGGTATAGTAATCCGGCGCACATTCCATGCCGAAGATGCCGAAACCTGGCTGGCGCAGCCTGTCAGACTGTGTCGGGCGGTAGGATAGGAACATGCCGTTGGATCCCGACTCCAAAGTAAAACGTGACTACGGCGCACAAAGCCACCACGTTGGACAAGCGTGAAAGCGCCAGTGGAATGGTACTTCAAGCGGCTGCGGCGCGGGCGTACGAAAGTACCAGCTCACCGGCGACCGACTAAGAAAAGGGCGTTTTGTAGCGAGTGAGGTACATAAAAGAAGTTGGTGCCTGTCTTTGCAGGAATAGGAAATAGTAAGAAATTGATAGATGGGTGGAGATGAGATCAAAGGAAAACAAATTTTGCTAGGTCGTATCGTGCGGGCCCAATCGTTGACTGCATCTCAAAATACGATTAGATCTGCAACCTTAGAAATGAAAGACTCAATTTATTTCGCTGTTAAAACCAGGCGGGAGGCGGACAGAACGATGACCGGATCCGGAAGTATTGCTTAAGGCTTGCTGTTAGATGGGTTGGTTTTAGAATCTAGAGCTATTTTCAGCCCGCCAAACTCTGAAGGCTGAATCTGAATCCCATGGCAATCTACCTGCTTTTGTGGACAAGATCTACGGAGAGCGGCCCTATCAGTTCACAGAACAATTTATTCCGAATGCGACGATCCAAGCCATTGATATTAGTGGCTGAATCCCCAAGCCTCAATCTCGAACTCTTAATTCTCTACTCCCAAATCCCTTCTTCTTTGGCTCCACCTTTCATCCACAAATTTCCAAGCCGCAAGGCTCCCTCTATTACGCGCCACCCTTTAGCCATCACCCGTGTTAATACCCTGTAAATATAGCGCACAACCTCACCCTACTGTCGTGGAATGTCGTGCAATCTCACCGACAGTTGCTCTGATTGCTTTCGAGCAGAAAGGTCTAGACTCCTAGCAACCTCTGCCTACGAAACCACCAACCCACCAACGGAATTAGAACGCCTGTCACCCAGCGCCCCGGAACCGATAGGATTGGCGTGCATATGCTCCACAATTTTGGGGACTTGGAGCTCCAGCCAACTGACTGGAAAATCCAGAGGCTGGATAGAAGTGGGTTGCGTAAATGTGGTGCCGCACATGAAATTTTGCTACTTGTGAGGTAACAGGCAGACATGCGATATGAGCAACCTTTCAGGTTTCATTTACGTGACGGGAGGCGACGTGGAGGGTATGAGAGGCAGGCTGGATGGGGGATAGAGGTAACGATTTCTGTGATCATGCCATTGACAGAAGACTACGTGGACAGGCACACAAAAAAAACACAATCTTGTTTTTACGCACTTTCAATTAAGTAGTGCTTACTATGCGTAAGCGAGAGCGAAGAGAGGGGAAGAGAGACAGCAGAGTGCTATGAAAAGTACTCGAAATACAACCGTGAAAGCCGTGTCTCGCGAATATTTGGGGGGTATCCTCCATAATGCTATACCGTACCGTGCCATGCCAAATCCTCTAAATATGCTACCCATTTGTTGACAACCCGGACTCGTACAGAAGAGAATGAAAGGAAACTGTATGTGCAGGATCCTGAGATATACACATGAAACTAAAACATGTATTTCCATATCCAGGTTGTGGCTTCTCGAGAGGAACCGTCTGGTACTCAACGGGAAGGTGAATCGAATCGAATCGGGGAGATGAAATGAGAAAATGACATATCCAGTACCGCTCCTTCTACTACTAACCTATCTCCTCCATCCGCTAGTGTCCATTTGATCTAGACCAGCTTGTGTGACAGCAGTTGTTGCCACGTTAGCCTTAGCTCTGCTACCGGTAGCTACCATGTGATAAGAAAACGGGAACGGATACGTTGGATTTGGGCTTTGTTGAATGTGCTGTGCAGGGATATCTTGCACTCGCGCCGGCGCAGGCACTTGTGCGAAGAATACTTCAGGCTCTGACAAGCGCGAAATTGGGGGCGCGGGACGGGCCGCCCAGGATGGGTGCACGCTAGCATTATTGGCATTGGTCACATGGCATGGTTGTTGATGAGACAATGTTCCCGATCGTATTTGCGACGAGCGAAGTGCCGGCGAAGGAGAGCAGTGGGATAACGTAGAGACAGGGGATGGTTGGCTTTGTGAATACAGGGTCGGATTGTTCGACTGTGGAGAGGAGTGGGGAACCGGCCGTGGAGGGATGTGCTGGTGTAATGAGGGATATGAGTGGTGTCGAGGATGAGGGGACAGCTGCTGATGCAACCCCACACCTATCCCCTGGAATTGATGTTGAGGTTGTTGCATCAGGGTCGTTGACGACAAAGGCGATATCGGAGATACCAGGCCCTGCGGCTGACTCTGTGCCTGTGACGGCGCTGGACAGGCGGTCGCGAATCGCAATGGTGCCGATCCCAGAGCCGATCTTCGCAACCCTTGTACCTCTTCCGAGGATCGAACTTCTTGAAGCGTGCAAAACCCCTTGTCCAGATTGTTGAACTCCTCGTCGGATTCACTTCCGGGATTCAGAGGCTCGCACAGTTTTCGCTGATCCTGCTCTTCTTGCTGCTTGCGCTCCAGTGGACTAACACCCTGTAAACGGTCCCCCGCCCAGTCCCATGAGAGTGGGGTGAACGCCTCCCGATGGAAACTTTGGAGCCCCGAGTTCTCGAGTAGGTTCATCCCAGTGTTGCCCATGACTGAATCCTGCAGCGTACCTGGGTCTGCAACCTCATTTCCAGCTGCTCCCTGCATTTGAACGTCACCTTCGTGCCCTGCTCTTACAAGGCCAGCCGATTCGCCCACCATCGAAACACCAACCTCGTCTCTCAATGGTAATAGCTGGTTCAGCCCCCAGCTCACTCTGCCGACTGCTATGCCTGCAAGCTTATGCACGCCGTTCGTGTGGAGTTCTTGGAATATTGCATGCGCCTGCTCCACCTTCTTAATGCGGCTCAGGTCATGTGTTTCCAGGGCATCGAGAACAAGTATCATGCATGAATTAAAGGCCTGTTGTCCCATTGTCCAGCAAATTAGTGCCGCGGAGACCCGTGCCTTAAAGAAAAGAAATGCAGTCAGCAGGTCTTCGGAAGAGGCGAGGACGAGCGCACGGCCGCGAAGCGTTGCTTTTGATGACAAGGTTGGCGATGGGTGTGACGAAGGAGGGTGATTGCCCGAATGAAACGAGGGTGGCGGAGTCTTGGTTATTGGAGATGGTGTTTGGTGAGCGGAAGTGCGGGATTCTTGTTTGTCTAGTCGTTGGCGGTTCAAGAGGATAAGGTAGTTATGAATCTTGCAGTAGAAAGCTAGGCTTGAGATCAGCAGACTTGAACCGAGCAGTAGATGCGTTAGCTCACCAGCAGCCATAGGACCGTGAGGCCAGTCTGGTATTGGCTTGTCTTCGCAGAGCCAGCTCTCGTTGAACTGTAAATTCTCCGGCATCGTATCCAGCAGCGCTCGAAGTCGGTCCGTGAATTCATCGATCTTTGTGTTGGTTAAGCGGTCGCTGCTGAGTATTTGCCTCGCGAGTATCGTGAAACGGTGCACAAATTCGCCAAACCTCAAGATCGTGGGGTCCGTGGTGAGTTCATGAGGCGGAGGGCAGTCTCCAATCCCACTGATGCCTAGAGGTCGGCCAAGAGTCATAGAATACTGCTGGTCCATATGAAGCATCCACCACCAGAGTGATTGACGTATTGAGCATTCCTTCTCCGTAGGTGGTGCTGGGTCGAGGTATTTCGGGTGGCGGTGAAGGCCGATGGACTGAGCAAGTCGAATCGTAGTTCCAAAGAGCGTCCAGGCGTCGAGGAAGCGTCCACTATTAGTAAGGTAGGGTCCGATCATAATGAGTGCTTGAATGCTAAGAAGGGTGGGTTTGCTCATAAAAGAGGCCATTCGCAAAGCCTGCATGGAAGCTGCCACTTCGTCTTTTATTAGTGTAACTGGTCAAATAGGGGTTGAGAGCATTTCTTACTATAAACGTCCCCATTCTTCAACTCTTTTTCCATAGCCCCAGCTACCCACTTTCCGCCGTACTTATCCCACACGCAGTGCTGAGCGCCGAGGGCGAGGGTCGCAAAGAGAAGAGCCAGCATATCCGGACAGATTTGGACATTCGTCCTGGCATCTCCTAGAAACCGGTCGACTTCGCTCTTGGTGACCTCTACTGGGACGTGTGGAAATGCACAAATCTGAACGCGGTCCTGAAAAGAATCCAAATACGCTGAGAGCTCGACAGGTTCAGGGAGACACTGTAGAAGTCGAGTTATGCAGGCCTCCTGCTCCGCAGGAAACACGGTCGGAAACGGATATGCGGGAATATCTTGTGGTGCGTACATGTCCGCTCCGCGTGGCATGGCATGGGTGATGGACTTCCCAGACACTTGAGAGAGGCTAATGTTGGCGAACTATCTACCTGTCAGCGCAGAGTTGTTGTGCAACTAAAAAAGGCCTACTTCAGTAATGACGTTTGCGAGAGCTGGGCTGCCAAAGTATATGCTGTCAGACCATTCGGATCCTTGGAAACGCCTCTGCCTTGCGGCGCGCCGTCTGTGAGATTTGCTCACCGGCACCTCGGCAAGGTGAGAGTCTGGCGAGACGTCGAAATCTTCTTCATCGGCCTCAATGGGCAGGTTACTCTGCCGCAGTCGGTTTTTGAGCTGGATATTCTCGGTGCGGAGCTTCCGGAGCTCGTAAGACTGTTGGATAGGTGCGTAGTCGCCGCCTTCTGCAACTTTGAAGTGACAGTCCTTAGGTTGTCCACGGGCGCAGCAAGATGTGCACGGTTTGGTACGATCGCACTGTGTTTCCAGATCGTGTCAGGTCATTCGACGATAAACGGTGGTGATGCGGGGATTGCCTTGCGGGTTATTCTTCTAACCATCCTTACCTTGACTTTTCGCTCACGGCACTTAGTGCACGAAAGCAGTTGGCGTGGCTGCTGAGAAAGAGGTTTCTTCTTGGTGCCTTCGGCTACAGCGGAAGGCTGGTCAACGGCCCCGTGGACATTCTCTGGCGAAGAATCTGCAGTCGCAGGTTGGTTGAACCCACTGGTTGAAACACTCATTCTGGACTAGAGCTGGAACGAAGCGAGAATCAAAACAGAGCGTCAAAAGAATAACTGAAGAGTCGAGTCGCTAACGGCGCGTCGCGGTGTGCTGACCGTCGGAAACACGCGACCTAGATAAGAGAGAGTTTTATATCAGTTCTCCAAGTGCGCAAAGTACGTTTGAAACCGTTGCACTTGACCTCTCCGAAGTGAGCTCTGGTTTTCGAAAGGTCCCACTTTATGAGATGGCCACCTACCCTAAAATTCTGTAATTAGTGAAAACTGCACTTAAGCCTCACTCTTCAGCTAGAAGGAAGGCTCAGTAAGACGTGGGATAGAGGCGCCGAGGAATGAACATCTATCAGGCATACTGGGTTCTCACCGGGCTTTGGACTTCCAGATCGGTCGCGGTGCATTGCAGCTAGGGTGTGGCCTTTGTCAGAAAACCGTGGTAAAGTTGCACGAGGGAATATCGCCAAGTTCAAGGCCTACAGAGTGGAAGCAGGTGAAGTGGCCCGGTAACCGGGTCGGAGCGATACATGATACAAAGATCTGGCACTTTACCAGCAAGGCGGGCCGATCCTTTGGCACTTCTTTCCAAGCTTTTCGGCCTCCAATGCCGCCGTGTCGAATGGCCTTGCTGGCATTCTATTGCTGCGCCTGGCAATGAATTGCTTTTCTCGCTTCATGAACAATCACGGCATCCCGTCTGAGTTGGCGGACGGGAGAGGTCTTAGCAGGTATATCTTGCTTGGATCGCCTTCATAGTTAGAGCCACTGGTGGCTTGCAGTAGGCTGGAGGTTGCATTTGGCTCGTGTTGAGACTCCTCTGCCAATCCCCAACACCCATTAAAGGGCTGTGAACATTTTTAAAGCCTCATTCCCCTTTCCGCTTCGAACCTTCGTTGACCCTTTGCCTGCAAGGAAATGGTGGCCGGTACTCGTGCTTCTTGTGGTATAGAATTCATGGATCTGCTGATTAGGATCTGAGCGATGGCTTGTAGACCGCTCCTGTCGTGTCACACTGAACCCCTCGTTCTCACCGTGATGGAACGAATGACAATTCCAGATCGTTCCCCCTTAGTGTTAAACGTAATGCGGTATTGTCTTAGCACCACAACTAACGCCACCTCGACTGATGTCGCACGCAATACGCGACGTGGTGGAAGCCTTGGAGCTACTGAAGAACAGAAAGAAGGCCAAAGCCACACGAAGCTCTGCCCTACCATCTTCGAATGCAATGGCAATTGCTGGTAAGAGCTTTATAGTACAATAGCTTGTACCTGCCCAACGCCAGATACTAACAACTTTCTCGGACCTGCTCGAGCTCTCTAGGATAGCGTCCAGGTCGGTCGTTCCACAAGCCGAATTGGCCGTGCAAAAATCTCTTTGAGGAAGGCACTAACAAAATAAATCTCAACTTCCCACTCGTCACCAACGCGCATATCTTCATTCAGCCTCTCCAAGTGAACCGTAACCCCTAATTCGATTATAATAGTCTCTACCATGAGAAAATTCTCCTTCGTCTTCTTCACCCAGACTTTGAAGGTTTTGGGAAGCTCTGCTTCTTTGAAGTAGAACGCTCGCATGAATGCCTGTGTTGCCCAAAACAAGTTGGAGATTTTTTTGGTTTTCGTAATGAGGTTCTCTCTTGGCGAGAGAGTAATGATGGACTCTTGCACTTGTCGATGGGAAAATGGGAGGATTGGTCGGGCAGCGTTTTGAACTTCGTCGGCGCTGAATTTCTTCCCAGTTCGAGCTTCGTGTCGGAGAGCAGCTTCAATCTGCCAATGTGAGATCATATCACTGAATCGCCGTAGAGGACTCGTGATCTTGAGATAGCTCTCAACTCCAATCATTTTATGCACTATGGGCGAAGTATGCGTTATGGCCCGACCAACGGCTTGCAGGTATTGGAGTAATAGTAGGGGAGAAATTTCGGCATCTCTATCCAAATAAGGTTGCAGAATTTTTTCTTTGAATTCATCCAGAGACAAAACACCGGGTCGCCTGGGCATTTCAATTGTTCCCCTGAACATGACGGGAATACCTCGCACTGCACACCAAGAGGCAGCTGCATGACCGGCGAGTATCATCATTTCCTCCGTGATGTTGGTCGCGTCAAGGTCCTGGTTAAGAGTCCGTCGGCCTAACTGACTCCTCAACTCAATGATGGGGTCACCATGAATGTATCGAGCCCTATCAGTAGATGGTGGAGCCCAATCTAACCCTTTCCGCCCCGGTTTGGCGAAAACATGAGGCTCAGCGAGCATTGTTGCGCCACGGATTCCACCGGCTGCCTTACGCCTCTCCCATAGAGAACGGGCAACGGTGTAGAAGTCTCGTAGTTCCTGGACCTGGCTAGGGGGAAGTTGTTTGCGCGGCTGAGTCTTGTACGAATCTGGAATCTCTCCACCCACAACGAATGTCCGGACGGAGGCGAGTGGTTGCTCCCCGAGGATTTCGGCTACCTCCACCGGCGAGACATGTATAACCTGCCTAATGATACCTGGTTGGATCTTAGTCTCTAAAATATTCCCGGCTAAGTCTACTCTCGTGCTGAATGTGAGTACTGGCCGATTGCGATCAAGACTGAAATAGTTTTGCGTGACCCATGTAGGCAGCATGGGAAACGACCGCTCGGGGACATACACACTCTCAGTCATGTGCGCCGCGAGGCCCGACAACACATGAGTTTTATCGAAAAAGGCCGTCGGATTCGCAATATGAACATGGATCCAGTAATCGGACTTCTTCCCCTGGACTTTCTCTATAGAAAGACCGTCGTCTATTTCTTTAGAACCAGGATTATCGATACAGTACACATTCATTGCACCCCAGTCCCGGCGCAGTTCTGCCATGGAGTCGCGGAAGTCCGGTTGTCGTCGGGTCAACTCTGCTTTGGTGGTGAGAAGTTCTAGGTTACGGGATAGACGGACAGTAGGCAGCATGAGTGACTCGTCGTGGAGTATCCTATTTTCATACGGTGTGATGACTCCAATCTCTTGCAGGAACAAATGACCAGTGCTCATATTCATCTTGTCGAGTCTGTCTCTAAACTTATTGTATTTTTCGTAGCATCCAGTTGCCTGGAGGAGTGCTACACCGGCAGACTGCAAACTGGGAATATTGTGGAACTGCATCATCAACACCCAGGCCTGGAGAAAGGTGATGATTTGCTTATCTGTGGTGCTAAACTCCTCACCCCATGTGATGTGCATCGCGGGCGACTTCTCTTTGTGCGCAAGTCGGGCTTTGCAGGGGCCGACAAATCCTTCAAGAGGATCTCGCAGCTCACGGCTCCGGGCAATCAGACGACGGGCCTTTTCGATGAACTGAGCTATGTAAGTTACCGCCTCGGGCGGATTTTGTGCCTTGAATGAGGAATTAGGGATAGTCTGGGTCGTTCGTTGAGCCTCGTGCTCGAGATATTGCCGCACCCAGTCCCGAACGGCCTCGATGACTTCAACTTCACCTTTTGGTCTAATGGCGAAAACATTGGTCAAACGTTGGCTACGATAGTCGGATCTAAAGCGGAACTCGTTGTGCATTAATGCCTTGCGAACTGCAAGAAGTGCCGGCGGAGAGGGTTTCCAGGCCGGATCATTGCGTCCAAGTAGAGTCTTGGCAATCTGGGTCAAGGTCATCATCCGCGTACGTGTCTGATCGGCAAGAGTTGAGTAGGCGCTGTCTAGGACATGAGCGTTTCCTCGGTATATGTCTTCGGATTGGTTGGTCAGCCGTTCAAGGATACTCAACACAGGGGCGCCTAAAGCCAGCGGCACATGCATAGCCCGTTTGATGTCGAGGGTGTCCAACTTGGTAGGCAAGTATGGGATGATGGGTTTGACCAATGCCGGATCAATGCAGCCAGGAATAGCGAATCGTATGTTTTGCAAATTGGTATGGCACCATTTCCCAGTGGCTGTATAAAATTGGGACACACTTTGAAGATCTTGAACGAAGGCGGCGAGAACAGGCTCGCGTGATTGCATTCTTATAGCGTTTAGCAACTATGTTGGCAGAGGAGTGTGTAGCAAAGTACCTCAACTCGACAACATCACCAGGCTTAAGGAAGAGGCCGATGGTGATCATTTCATCCTCATCGTTGTCAAAAGGTTCATTGAAATCATCATCAGACTTGCCTGGGAAGTTCATCCTTGCCAGGTTGTTCGATGTTTCTCCAGACGCCGGATGGTTCGGGAAGGCTCTGAGGTCGTCTTCATTCGGTCCGCCATATTCATCCTGCCACCTTTGCAACGCCTTCCGAGTTGGGCTTGTGCGGGCATGGAGGGGAAGGGAATCGGGAGTGGAGAGTGAAGAGGGGTCAGTCGTCGCAGCTACAACTGAAGCTCGAGGGCGCTGAGTGGGATCAGTATAGGTTGGAAGGCACGATAAGATATGAAATCCGCTCACGAATTGGGATGCATGAAACGATTGTCGCGTCAATGCTTGCAAGCCCAACGCATTCAATCGAAACTTAGGGCGGGATCCTGGTATGAAGGGTGAGAGATGTCGAGCTGTCACAATTTCAGAAAGGCCGCGCTGCTGACCAGCAATTCGAATACGACAACTCCAACAGACGTCTGCAAAGGGCGTAGAAGCTGGTCGAGGATATAGCATGCCTCTTCGTCGGTCTTTGGAGCTCCGAGGTGGATCTTGTAGAGTGCAGCTCAGGAATCAAAAAAAGTTCTGGACATCGGCAGCGAAGCCTCCGATGCTTGGCACGAGAAATCTCATCATCGCCCATCCTCCACTGCCTCCAGAATGGCTCGACAACCTACAACAAAGTAACAGGGTAAGCCCGTATGCTCTCATGCTCTTTCAGCTTCTTTCTAGGTGATGATTTCTTAATTATAGCATGTATTATCTGAGCAGCGTTCCGGCGTTGGTTGCGGAGACATTTTTGATATCTGACTAGAATCCTTCTGTTTCGTAGTTTCAACACGTTGGAATCGCATCGGGCAGCTAATATTCCTCCCAGAACCGGCGACATGGCGTCTAGCAAGCTGCCACCTGGACACTTCTCAATCCTGTATTTTGCAGCCGCTTCGACGTTCACCGGGAAGTCGACCGAACATATGCCCGCCCCAGTGAAGGCGCGTTACCTGTTCGGTAAACTCGAGCAGTCGTACCCTGGCATCGGCGAGAAGGTCTTGAGCAGCTGTGCTGTTACGGTGAACCTGGAGTATATTGATATCGACGGCGATGAGGCGCCGCATTTGAACCTGATGATTAAGGAAGGGGATGAGGTCGCCATCATTCCACCTGTTAGCTCTGGGTGAGCATCGTAGCTGGAGCTCAATGTAGCACGTTATGTGTCTCCGAAAAGAGGTTCGTGTGTGCTAATTTCAGAGAGAAGAGATTGATTGATTGGGGTTCCATGGTACGACGTGGAGTACTTTAGCTAGATTTCGTCCAATGCTTATCTGCGTCGCGAGCAAGGAGTGTTGTTACGGATGAATGAATGGAGGGTGTTAATGGGGAAGTTATGATGGGAACCATTGGTATCGACACACAGCAAGTTAGCAGCCACCTTGGGGCTATGAGACAACGTGAACAGGCAGTGATGCTTGTCTAGGGATAGAATATGGGCGAGTGTGGAAAGGAAGTTCGCCCGAGGTAGTGGTCTCAACTTTGGAAACCTACAATCTGTTGTTTTCAGTGCAAGCCTGCAGTTCACTGTGTGAGAGAGGTTCGTCGAGAGCCAATGAGGAGTAAATAGAGGAGGAACACTTGAGTAACAGTAAGAAAGGGCCTTGTCTGGACCTTCCTGACGGCGTAGAACTGATACTTGGTCACCACCTTACCAAACCCCTGAACTCACCGCCGTGCATCTGCCTTCGCACCTGGCACTGGGCGTTTCTCTTCATTGTCCTGTTCTCACGTCGGTGGCGGCGATATAAGGCCCGTCTGCCTTGATGCCTGCGCCAAGCCCCTGGTCTCTCCAGGACAAAACACCGCGCCTGACGGACATGACAGCCACCGACGCCGACGACAACTTCGACTCCGAGCACGCAGCAGCCATGGCCGACCCCATAGACCCTCGTCTACAATACGCCTCGTCGCTTCCACCGCGAACCCTTTCGCAATCGTACCCAGTAGGCCCCGCGTTACAGAACAATGCCGGCACCCATCAACCATACTATCTCCCCGCCACCACGCACTCGCAGCCCCCACATCTCGCCCAAGCTCCCCCGCCGAGCAACCTCGATCCCGCTCTCGAGCAGACCTCTCCAGCTGGTCTCGAGGGCCCCTCTGACGAGCATGACGACTCCGATGTCGACCACGAGGGGTACGTGTCTCCATCGCAGCGGCATTCACCACTAGCCGAGGTCCGCGTCATGCTCAGTTGACTGACCTTTCATAGTACCCATGACACTCCCGGCTCAGCCAAGTCTCCAGGAGACCTCAAGCGTGCAAGAGCCTGCGATTCCTGTCGAGGTCTGAAGGCAAGTCGCCTTTGTAGTTGCATTCACCACTCACTGACATCATACAAGGTCCGCTGCGATCAACAACGACCAGACCAGCCATGTAAACGCTGCGAAAAAGCGAAACGGCCATGGTGGGTACTTCTAGAATCATCTCTCTATGCTCGCCTACTGAAAGTTGATCAGTGTAACTACCCCACCCACGAGGAAGAGGCAGAAGAAGGCCGATAGTCGTGTCGCAGAACTCGAGCGCAAGATTGATGCCTTGACTGCGACACTGCACGCACAGAAGGGGGGCCCCGCCACTGAGGGGTCCTCTTCTCTGGCTGGTATACAACAGTACGATCCCGCTCCTGGCGGCTTTCCCCCGCACCCTCGCGACGAAGGCACTTATGGAGTGGGCATGATCAGACATGAGTGGTCACACCTCCCCAGCCGCTCCCAAGACGCACCACCAGGCTATGGGCCTGCACAGACACACCGAGGGCCAGATCCGAAGCGAAGGAGACTCGGTGATGGAGGTGGACACCCTGTGAGTACATTACATGGCGAAGACTTCGAATCCTCACGTATTCAGACTATCCCGGAGGATATGGATGCCATCCATCGCGACCTAGCTGAACACCCTGAGATGAAGCGTACAAACAAGAAAGGGATACAGGCAGATCATTCCTACATCAATGCTCTAATCGATAGTCTCATGACATCCAATACTGCCGAGCGCATCTTTAATCGCTACGTACAGGAGATTTGCCCTCACTTTCCCGCAGTTCCGCTCTCCCCTGGAATTACGGCCCGCGAAGTTCGCGATAAGAAACCACTGCTCTTCTTAGCTATCCTGGCAGGTTCATCTCATGGAAGTGCTGAGCAGCTGGTACCTCAGGATGTACAGAGGGAGCTCACGAAGCTGTTGAAAGATCAATTTGCTGATATCATCTGGCGAAATGGTGAGAAGTCGCTGGAGATTGTGCAGGCGTTGCAATTGGGCGTCTTATGGTAAGTCTGCCTGGCATGAGCGCAACACCTAACTTGATCAAAACTGATATTACTCAGGTACCGCCCACCAATGCACTACGAGCAGCACAATTTCTACATGATGGTTAATTGTGCCGCGGTTATGGCCCTTGATCTCGGACTTGGAAGACCGGCAACCCCAAATGTCATGAAGCTTGCCGTTGGCCCTTTTCGTCGATGCCATCCTAACGCTAGTAGCATTGAAGCGCGACGAACATTCCTGGTATGCTATTACCTCTGCATGAGCATCACAATGGTCCTCCGGCGCCCCATTCTCCTTCGTTGGACAAAATACATGGAGGAGAGTGTAAATATCCTCGAAACCTCTACCGAAGCACTTCCTTCGGATAAAATTCTGCTCCAGCACATCAAGATGGCCCATATTGGCGAAAATATCTCTGTGCAGTTCTGCATGGATGATCCCTCGGTTGAGGTGTCTATCTCTGAGCCTAAGGTCATCTATGCCTTGAAGATCTTTGAGAACGAACTTCAGCAACTGAGGGACCAAGATGCACAGATGGACCAGGTCGACCGTAAAGTGCTCTTCGTGCTGCCTCACGATGATTATCACTAACTATACGCAGCTGCATTGCGACTCGCCGAGCATGTCACAAACCTTTACGTTCATGAAATCGCACTTCACCACAACCAAAGCGTCGCCGACTTCCAACCACCCTTTCCTTCCGAGTCTTTTGCCTCTGGTGTCACCAAGAAAGATGCTATCGGGCCAGCCCATATCAGTGCTCTAGGCGAGTGTTTGACTGCGACCCATGGGATTCTAGATACTATTCTAAGCGTCCCTTTTGATATCCTCCTGACTCTTCCAGTCATTTTCTGTGAGTTCATGACAGCTTCTGGTCGAATTTGCTTCTCACAATGAACTATAGGTGTGCGCGCAATATATGCTATTGTGTGTTTAATGAAGATGTGGGTGTCCGTCACTTCGGCCGGCGAAGTTGGTACTATCATAAAGAAGGAGCACTTGGGAATTGAATCCTATACTGAAAAGTTGGTTAATATGTTCAACGCAATCGTCTCTCGCGACGCACAGAGCCCTCACGGCAAGTTCTACTTCGTAGCCAAGCGGCTGCAAGAGCGGTTCGCGCAAATTAAAGAGGGCACTCAGAAGATCGACACCACGGAAATTCGAGACGAACAGCGCCGTTCCGAGAGCAAGCCTAGTAACAAGCGCCCTAGGCAGAGCTCAGCGAACCAAACACCCCTCCACCTCCTCTCGGAAGTCGCAATGGGCAGCAGTGCCTCCACTCCTTCAACCCAGTCTCAACCCGCAGCGATTCAACCACCACAGCAGTCGATGCCGCAGGGCTGGTACAGCAATCCAGCTATGGGCCCACAGCAACCAGAGATGATGGCGATTCCGCCTGCTGGCTTCGACCCCAACTTCGACTTCACCCAGTTTGACTTGAGCATGGGTAGCGATGCTGATCTGTCTGCGCTTTTCATTCCGGACTCTATGCTGTGGAACTTTGGGCCTGATCTTGGTACGAGTAATTACAACCATGGGACTGCGTTCTAATTATTGCTTGTTGTATATTAACTTGTGGAATACATACTAAAAATTCTTTCTCCCTAGGTCTGTTAGGTGTCCGTGGCTTCTGGCGTCGAGATTTTACGCATATAATGAGCAATTTCGGGCCGGAACAGCCCAAACTCAGTGAGTCTCGAAATCTAGCTCGCCCAAAGCTAGATTTCGGGGGTGATTGGGTGATGTTTGAGGAGTGGGAGTCTCTTATTAAGGCCGACCAGGCCTAGGGAGAGGTTCCCGGGTGAATTGAGGGTGGGGTATAGTTCGGAGGAGGAGGGGGGAATGTAAATGTAGACTTGTACTGTGATACTGCTGTCTCATCGCTTGATTTCAACTGCAATGTGCCAACTTCTTTTGGTCTGTGAGAGAAGTGGTGCGAGGCCGTGCTGGGCATGGTTTTAGTTTTATTCTGTCCCTACTAGACTCACGGAAGGGGCTTCGTTCTCTAACATGTCCTAGGATACGCAGGGTTTCACAGCAGGAATCTAGAGGCATCTGCTCATCCAGCGGAGACGATAGTAGTGTGGACAGGAGGGTTAAGATATGAGACAGAGCTTAGAACGGTCTAGGGAAGCTTTGAGTTGTTGTGTGTAGCCCCCTTCGTCTTGCTAACATTTCTTCTCAGCCTTTAGCTTTTAGATTTCTATAAAATAAAAAAAAGCACGGAATTTCCAGGTTTGGTCTACAGAAATGCATTCTATTATCTTGTGTTGTTGTTGAGTAATTGTGCGTAGAAGCGCGTTGATATTGGTAGGGTGGTCAACTAACTGATAGGGCTAAGGAACAACTACTAAAGCTTCAGCCCTATATTGAAAACGGTTTGGAAGAATGCTCATATTTTGCCGCCACGTATGATATGTACTTTCCATTCCTAACTAACGAAGTGAAATGCAGAGCATCCGCACTTGATATTGCTAATCGATAAAACATTCACAGTTAAACTGTCTTATCACGTGGTCTTTTCGAGCTCTTCCGCCTTGTAGACTGGAAGAGACAGCTTCACAAGATAACTAATGATTTTTTATTCTCGTATAGTGACGTGGATATGCGAATCTGGGCACACTTGATTGTCATGAATGGGAAGATCCTGAGTTCTATCGAGAACTAATTGCTAAGTTTAATATTGAAAGACAGCACAGGCGGACAACAGATGGGTTGGGTGGACTGTTGCCATGAACATCCCTGCTTTATGGGTTACCGATCATTTTAAATTAATCTCATTACTAAATTCCTCAGTATCCGGAATATTCAGAAGTTCAATAAGTTCCTGTGCTTTTCACCGATTGGCAGTCCCTTAACTCCTTCATATCTTGTTCCAAGCATAAAGACCATATCTAGGGTTCAAATAACACGATCCATTGTTGCTATCTATACCAGATAGGACTCAGTAGAATTATATCCCACTAAGTATCCAATAAGAGCTCAAGATTAAAGTTTGTCTCCGCGTTTAGCATGGATATAATAGACATAAGCCTTTGAGCCTATCTCCTTCTGGGTCTGTTACAAGTCTTTGTATTTGGTCAGGAGTTCTCGGTTCCGTGTAGCTTCAGAGGGAGCAGAACCCCTTTTTAGCTTCCTCAATCTCTCGGCTGTAGTGAAGCAGTCATAGATGTGGAAGAGATTATCCTTGATAACACTCAGTGTACCAAGAGCTTTATTCTTGGCAGTGTATTCGGCAAGCTCTCATTCGAATAGCTGGTAGTCCATGGAGAATATCGATTGTTTGGATTCGTCAAGGTTGATAAGCCCTGTAAATCCGGCTTTGCAGCCGGAAGGGTTTGGTGCCTGTGGCTCTTGAAGCATTGAAGTTCGTCTGCTTCTACCTCTATGTCACAGTACTACGTCTTAGGACAAGTTATGCTTCCCATTGTGCAGGTCGTTTGAGGATGATTGTTACCTTAGTGATGAGGGTATCGGCGTCCATGACGCTGATGTGGGATGCCAAGACTGAACACAAGCAGAGATTGGTGAATGAACGCAGTATATTGATAGCATAAGTGAAGGCCGGGCTCATAACTGTAAGGGTTTGGTGTGGAGGGATGAGGACTTCGTTGATTCTAGAGAACGGAGATGAGCATTCTCTATATAAAAAAGAGAAAGAGACATGCTGAAGCAGGTCTCAGGACATGTCTAAGGACAGGTATCGAGACAGATACTAGACAAATACAAGATAAATGCATCCTCAATTGTGTGAGAAGGACAGACATTAGAAAACCGTTACAAACGTACCTACTACCATCCGAAAAGAAAGAAATTTTGATGAGCATTTAATCATCAAGAGGTATAGCTCCAATGTCACTCCTAATGGTGCTGTTATAAATTTGCACCGTGGTAACTGTCCCGATACACAGAACGTTTCAACATGAAAACTTACAATGCCAGACCCTTCGGATGTTTTTTCAGTCTGCACCCATCCAAAAGTGTGGGTCTTCTTCCCCGTTAATAAGCATAACACTGGGTGCTACCAGAAAAGAGGTAAGTCTTCTAGTAAGCTTCCTCGGTTGCTGCACAAACTCGAAGGCGGATATCGTGTGGAGGGTTTCCAGAGTAAGCCCCGGAGAAAGGTAGTGACACTCTGTACATTTAGTATGTCCTCAGACGTTCTATCTGCTGGACGGATAATTACATGAGAAGTCTATAGAATGGATTTAATAGATCTCAAACTCGAAGATACCACTGAGGCAATGGCTGCATGGTGGGTTAGATTTCTCTTCAGCGTCCCAGCAGATGAAACATGCACAAGCTATCTAGTCATTTCAATATCGTAAAATGGGAAGAAACGAGCTCCAGTCACCATATTGAAAAGAGTTTCTCATTTTTGTGGGAAGGATGGTGTACGAAAGGAAGTCAAAAAGGGGGCGGGGCAAGAGAGCTTTATTACCTCCCTTTATCAAGAGCAGTTGTTATATATAATTTTATCGCAAATAAATTTCAAAGTCCCCCAAATTCTTCATTATTTCCCCAATGTGGCGGTTCCCTCAGCAGTTCTCATCATCGTTCTCAAGGCAAGGCGGCAAAACGATACCCACGCCGTCAGTACGCTTGCCCTTTGCTCCTCCTTCTTGGCTCCAGCATTCCTCGCCGTCCAAACAAGGAGGCAAGACAATTCCAGTACTATCAGTACGCTTTTCTTTAAACCCGCACGCTTCATCGTCTTCCAAGCAGAGAGAATGAAAGATGTCTACGCCATCATTCCGTTTTCCAAGGGCGACGACATCCGAGTTACCTTCATATCAGTGTTAGACTTTTGATGTAGAAGAGTGATTGAGAATTGAATGTAGGCATACCCGGGAGGGGCGCTGCGAGAGCGATAGATGTCAAGAGAAGCATGATGAGTTTCTTGTACATGGTTCCGGAAGTGTTTGCGATGTCGTTGTAGTTCAAGCGAGGGAGTTTGAATGATTTGGTGACTTGAAGTAAATTGCAATGAACCGCAATCCGGGAAGAGGAGACCTTATATAGCCCAAGAGAAGGAGTTGGGGAGGCTTTACTTTGGGGTCTCAAGAATAGCTGACCCCTAAGCCTCGGTGGAAGTTCAGAATCTTGCCGCCTAGTTGGGATATCAGGCATTCATCCCCCTCAGTAGGAGACATTCGGTGATGGTTTCTTTGTACCATCAAGCAATATGTTTCGGAGTCCGTAGGAATGTGCACCAATGGAACATTTCCCAACAGGCAGCAATCTCCAGGAACAAGTGTTCCCCAAACACTTGGAATCAAATCGCAGGGTCGGACGTGCCGTTGAGATCGTCCTTCCTCTGTAGCGGCCGAAAGGTGAACGCCGTGTCCTTAACCGCGCCTCGCGTGATCCAGCTGAGAGCAGGGTATCCGTTCCACTAACTAATCACTGGATTGTGATCGACTCAAACACCTTTTTATAGAATATTCCATTTGCTCCCACGCAAACTCCCAGAGCCTGGGTTGTCGCAAATCTTGATAATTGGACAGATTGATTGCGACTAGATACACCGATATTCCCTCATATTATCGAAGCGCGATTTCTCGGGAAGGTGCTGCAACATGCAATACACTGCATTCCGACCCCAAACACGCCAACAGTCCGAACGATATTGGTTTCTCAGTACTCCCTGTCTAGTTACAGCCAATGGGGATGTTTCAGTGTGGAGTTTGCGTTGCGGATGTGTCTTAGGAGGTGTGCAGGAAAGCTGAGTGGCACTCGGTGCCTAGAGAATCTTAGGAAATTCTAAGTTGGAGAAGGTGTCAAAGAAGATCCCACTTCTTCTACCTTCTAGCGAGCATATGAGCGAGCTCTTCGGCTCATTGCCACTTTTCTTACCCACTCCCTCTCTATCCGTCCAATGTTCTTCTCGAAAAACTATCGAGGGAGTGCACACACTCCTGCGCAATATTCCAATGTGGGTGATGAGCCACTTGACGACTGCGAAGATCAACGTTTGAGATGCTCAGTCTGTTCGAATCAAACTAATTGGGCAACGAGAGTTTGTTATCTACTTCTAATTTTCATCTTTGTGGGGGAGGCGGTGACTTTGTCTGCCTCACTGCTCGCCTCAAAATTTGGCCAAGGTGTACAGTCAATGAGTCGAGGAACATTTCCTTCGCTAGTCCCCTCGACTCTCCTCAAATATGAGTACCGCCCGGAGTGGTCAGATTTGGCTGATCCTTGGGCGCTTCCCCCCGGTCACTCTCTCGATGCATTATGGGATGACTTGCTATATGGTTAGATTTCTCTGATCTCATTCAAACTTATGCTGATTACGACTGCATAGCGCAAAACATCCACATTCCGGAGCATGAGTTTGAAGCACTTGAAGAGAACGTGACATATCCAGTCCAAACTCTTAATGGCGATTATGTGGGAGTGATTGGAATTTACCACCATTTACATTGCCTCGATGCCCTACGACGAGTTGTGCATTGGGACTATTACGGACCCAGGGCATCAGAAAAGGCTCTCGAAGAGGGGATATATTCCAAAGCTCACTCCGGCAAGTCCAATTTTCTATCTCTGTTGTGGACACCAGTGCTAATTACTGATTTCGCTCCTAGACCACTGCATCGAAGCATTGCGTCAAGCTCTCATGTGCAATCCAAATACTGGGTTCTACTCTGCGACGTGGGTCTGGAGCGAAAGTGGCCCCAAAGTGGACTTGGGTCCGACTACCGGCATAATGCACAAATGTGTTGATTGGAAGAGTTTAGATGGATGGGCAAGGGGGAGGGCTGTGAGGAGAGGCCAGGCGAGATACCGTCTTACCACTTTGCATGAGTCGTAGAGATATTACTTTGAGACGTAGAGAGGTCACACCCGGTGATCTGTTGACTGTTTCCATACTTGTCCTTGTATGACGGCTCCAGCTGCATACATCCGTCTTGGGGGCCGGAATGAACGACGTTACTCCAACGGCTGTACTTAAAATTCTTATTGCAACACGACCTTTGTCCTTCACAGCGCTCGTGCTACCCGAAGTCGCGGAATCGTTGAATGCCCCGCCGTGATTGGTCACCTTCACCGCGTACTTTCCCTCTTCGTCTTCTGGCTCCATCGTGACGTCGACCCTGCATTTCCCTTTTGTGCACTTCATATTCCTCACAATCAACCTTTTTCTCTACACCTCCCGTAAAACCCCTCCATCTTCTCAAGGAAAACTAAAACTATCGATAGCCGCAATGGCCACACTTTCCATCTCTGAGGGCGAGATCCCGTTCGCTGCGCCGGGTACTGACAAGCTCACCAATACTTGGTACAAGACCATCGGAGACGTCACCAAGTCTCCACCTCTCATCCTCTGCCACGGCGGTCCAGGCGCCGGCCACGAGTGCCTTCTCTCTTTGACCGACCTCTACGAACAATATGGCATCCCACTCATTTTCTACGACCAAGTCGGCTGTGGCAAGTCCACCCACTTCAAGGAGAAGATGGGCGATGAGCTGTTCTGGAGCATCGAGCTGTACTGGGCCGAGCTCGACAACTTGATCGACAACTTCGGACTACGACAGTCAGGATATCATCTCCTCGGCCAGAGCTGGGGCGGGATGCTGGTCGGGTCTTATGCTGCGAAGCGTCCTGTCGGTCTGAAGAAGCTGATCATCTCGAGTGGACCTGCTTCTGGAGCGCTGTACCAGGAGTCTGCGAATCTCTTGCTGAAAGAACTGCCTGAAGATGTCAGGAAGACGCTGGAGGATTGCGAGAGTCGCGGAGATCACGAGAGCGACAAGTACAAGGCGGCGAGCATGGAGTTCTTAAAGCGTCACGTATGCCGCTTGGACCCATTCCCAGACGATATTCTTAAGGCGTTTGGGCACTTGGAGCATGATAATACGAGTTATATGACTGTGTAAGTCTGCGCCTACCTCTCAAACTTCCCTCTACCTGGCGATTGTAGACAAAAACTACGGCTTACGCATTTCCTAGCCAAGGACCTTCTGAATTCCAGATCACCGGCTGGCTCAAGCATTGGGATTCCTCGACTGATGCCTACCATATCGAATCCCCAACTCTGCTCATCAATGGCAAGTATGATGAGATGCAGGACATCACCATTGAGCCCTGGTTCCGTCGCATCCCGAAAGTCAAGTGGATTACCCTTGACAATTCGAGCCACTTGAGCCACTATGAGGAGAGGGATAGATACATGAAGATCTGTGGAGATTTCCTGAAGTACTGAGGCAGACGACGAGTAGTTTATCGTGACGGAGCCGTGCACGAGCCTGGGATAGTCCCTTCCTTCGTTCATCGAATTTTCATATCGTGGATATTCTGGATCTTAATGGCGTTGAGTTAGTAGCCACCTCATTTCGTTTCTAATGAGCGGCTGGAGCCAATACTATCCAATTATCAGACGAAATGCGTGATCGAAACGACGAATGTATTCAATTTATTTCAGAATACGTCAGATAATGCATCGACACATGCCTCCGTATCAACTCCCTCAATATGCTTATCACAATATAAATAATATTCACAAATGTCACGACCACAAATTAGACTCTTCCGCACCGACCCTTCCCTACGCAGTAATCGCCCTCCCTCTAGACCCCTGCCCTCCGTTTACATTACTTACATTTGACAAGGCATACTGCGTGGAAAAAGTTGTCGTATCCGACCACATAAGTCCCGATCTCAAACTTTTCATAAACGGCCAAAAGTACGCGACACACACGGTTGAGATACTAAGGAGTTGGAGAATCTGCGTGCAGAGCAGGTATGTCACCGATGCGTGGGTCCAGTTGTGGGTGAAGAGACGGCGGGTGTAGATCATTTGGAAAATTGTTGCTACGATGACCCTAGAAAGGCATTAGCGGATATCGCGATTGGGGTATGGACCGGTATTGGAACGGGTGGGAAAGAAACGTACAAGATTCTCGATATGAAGAAAGATATCACAGTTAAGCGCGTTTTGATGGGCATTTGGAGAGGGTAGATTATCCAGACTGGGAGGCAGACTAGGAGGAGATCTGTCAGTGCGTTTGTGGCGCCCGAATATTCGAGAAATGCTTTCTATAGATTCGTTAATGTACGGTGCTATTTGTCCACCCCCAGGTTGAAGAAAGAGCGCTCACCTCATTGATGCACTTGCTATGATCAGTATTCCATGGGAGTTTTGGCCCACATTGGAACACTGCTGTGAAAATTGATGATATTGCCCAGAGTATTATTAGACCACCGAGACTGTACGTCACTTTACGATGTCGCTCGTCCGGGGAAAGCGCAAGGAAGCTGGCGCAGAGAGAGGTCTTCGCAAATGCGAGAGAGGCCAAGAAGAGAATACTGCCCGCATATCTCACCTGCGCGAAAGTCAATTCCCATCGATTACATTCAGCAATCATATTTCTTGCCTTTAATCCGTTGCGGAGCTCAGACCCAGAAACCAGATCTATGTCTTTACCAAAAGCGCCACTTCCGGGGACGAGAAAAGTCAGTGACTCCCCAAGTGCCAACAACTGCTCGGAATTAGTCTGCACGAATCCATTCACAGACTCAGCTAATAAAAAGCTCATACATAGGCCGAGATAACCAGAATATCATCCGCGCCAAACTCTCTACTCGCCTTCAGAAATAATCGCGTCAAGAAACGGAAACCGAGCATGAGCGTCATGATCGCTAAGCACAGCCATGTGGTAACTTGAACAAGAGGATTAAGATCTGAATCCGTAATTCTGATTCCTTCGGAAGCATCCGAAGTAGAAGCAGACATAATGTTTTAAAGTTCTCGTCGGGTGGAGAATGAGCGATGCGAAAACGGCGCTGTCAATCGAAAGAAACGGCGATCAAGCCTTCAAGGTAGACCTGCACCAAAAAAAGTACATGGTGGATTGCGAGCCCTAACAACCTCATCGCATATATTAGGCCGCGACCTATTGGACACCATCTTCTCGTGCGATTAGAGTGCTGGTTCCATCTGGTGCAAGGCTGCGGTACACACAGGGCGAGCACATCACGATGTACCGAGGTGAGAATTATTATGCATCAACGGAGATCAAGCCACATCCTTGCTCCCTGCAGATGGAGTATGATTCAAAGAGGAAGATATGGGAGTTAATTGTAGAGTGCACAATAATGTCTGGTAAAATAAATGGTTATATAGGGAGTTGTGAAGGTTACTAAGTCTTAATTGCGCACTGCATGTCTCTGATAGGTCCGAAATATGGTATGATACCATTGTAACACAGAAGATAGAGATCAATATCAATCGGAGCACGCTCTCCGAGGCTAGCGTGGTGTCTCGTTGCACAACTGATTAAGCTTTCCGGTGAGCAGCTGGAGAAGTTTACGCTTTGGAACTATCCAAACTCATCAATTCCTCCCTTCGACATCCGTATTGTCGGAAATGTGAAAACAGTTCTTGCATTTTGACTATGTACTACCTTCCGATTTCAGCTTCCCACTCCTTTTAGCACGACCTCAGAGCAAGCGTTTATAATGCTGTGTTGTAACTTGAACAAGGTAGAGTCGTGCATCCCCGTTATCCCATAACGTGGTTTAGCTTTTCTAAAATCGTCTTCCAGACTCGTCCCATCCTGTCGGATCTTGACCCCGAAGGTCCTGGTGATCGGTTCAACGAATCCTAACGTAGTGTGAGAGGATCTTCGGAGCTCACGCTGCTGGCCGTCGCTTGCCGTCAATCCGACGCTACTGGTGTGAAACTACATTTTGCTGGCCTCAGAGCGGCAATCACTCCTTCAATTTCTGATGTGGACGTTCTTCGGTCGAAGCGGTTGTAAATATTCAACACCAGAATACACACCTACCACAAGTTCAACATCTCCATCGCAATGGCTGACAAAGGCTTCGAACTGCACACCACCTCCATGACCTCTGGCCTCGACCGAAACAACACTTCTAATCTCTCATCTCAAGAACACCCCATTACCTCAAGCGACGATGCCTATCTCGCTCGCCTCGGAAAACGAGCGCTCTTGCCACGCTCATTCGGCTTCATGTCCATATTAGGCTTCTCCTGCTCGTCTCTGATATCCTGGGAAGGCATCCTCGTGACCTCCGTCGGCGGCCTTCTTAACGGCGGTCCCGCTGGCGTCATATGGGGTTTTCTCGTCAATTGGCTCGGGATGCTCAGCACGTTCGCTGCGATCGCAGAATTGGCTAGTATGGCGCCGACGGCAGGTGGGCAGTACCATTGGGTCGCGATGATGGCGCCGAAATCGTGCAATGTGTTTCTGGCGTATTTGACAGGTGGGTTTCCCAACCTTTTCTACTGATATATGAAGAGTTGCTAATCGTGATGGGTGTGTCTAGCATGGCTCACTGTCCTCGCCTGGCAGGTCTTCGCGACGTCCACTAGCTTTCTTCTTGGGACTCTCACACAAGGAATCGTTATCTTGGCGAATCCAACATATGTCCCGAAGACGTGGCACACAGTTCTGTTGATCTGGTGTATTATGCTGGTGGCTGTGGCTCTGAATTCCACGACTTCCCGTGTGCTAGTCAATTTCGAAGGCATCATTTTAATCGTGCACCTGGTAGGATTCTTCTGTGTGTTGATTCCGCTTGTGTATTTCGCGCCGCATAGCGATCCGTCGTTCGTGTTCACAACATTTTTGAACGAGGGGGGGTGGAATAGCCAAGCGATATCGTTCTTTGTGGGATTGCCGACGACGGCTATGAGTCTTTTGGGTGCTGATAGCGCGGTACATGTTCGTCTTTCTGACTTATCAATCTTTAAAATCGATGACTATTCAAGCTGACGGCTTCAGATGTCCGAAGAGATTCAATGTGCGGCAACGGTAGTGCCTCAGGCGCTCACGTACACGATGCTCATCAACGGAACGCTTGCACTTGCAATGGCTATCGCGATGATCTTCTGCATCGGCGACTTAGAAAAAGCTCTAGCTGCGCAGGAAACTTTATTCTACCCTTTCATTGAGATTTTTCGGTCCGCGGTAAAATCCACAGCTGGAGCTTGTATAATGGCGTCCATTATCCTATTCATGGGCATTGCGAGCGGCGTCGGCGCATATGCATCTGCTTCTAGAATATTGTGGTCTTTCTCGCGGGATCGAGGGCTACCTGGCCACAAGTTCCTATTCCGGGTATGTCTCAACCTGCCTTCGTGATCTGTATGGGGGTCTTTGCTTACGCCCTATCAGCTCTCCAAGAACTCTCTCCCTGTTCCAGCTATTTGCGTAACTCTCCTCACAACTTGTCTCTTCTCTCTCATCGTCCTCGGCTCCTCAGTTGCATTCAACGCCCTTCTATCTCTCACTGTTGTCGCCCTCTTCAGCACCTACCTCCTAGTCTGCATTCTCCTTCTCTGGCGCCGCATCGACGGCTCGCTTCAGCCCGGCGACTGCTCCATTTCCGACGCGGATCGCATGGTGTGGGGACCTTGGAGATTGCCGGAGCCGCTCGGCACTATCAATAATGTCTTCGCGTGCGGCTATCTGATTTTCATGCTTTTCTGGAGCTTTTGGCCTCCGCAAACGCCTACAACGGCTAAGAATGCGAATTTCAGTATTCTAATTTTTGGTGTGGTGGTGCTGTTTAGTGTGGTGTGGTATATGCTAAGGGCGAGGCGGTACTTTAAGGGGCCGCTGAGGGAGGTGGATCCTGCGCAGATTCCAAATTGATGTAATTCCAGCAGCTGAAGTAAGAACAAAAGCAAAATTCTTACGATTGCTGAAAGATTTCCTAGTCCGGACGAGGAATTGAGGTTAAATATCGTTGAAATGATATGATTAGGAGAGACAATTTCAGGCGGTTGAGGAATAGCCACTATTAGAGCACGACAGTAGCAAGCGCCATTAGCAGAAAATACTTTCTAGATAAAGAATCGAGTCAATAATTGCCCGGCCAGTGAATGAGGTCGTCTCAAACGGCAAGAACTTCATCCTTCTCTAAGTCAATTCCAGAACCTTCATTTCTCATGTGGGCAACAGCTTCTCCGCCACCCTCGAATTTTTTATCATGAAGGAGCCCTACCGACTACTAGATTCTTCTATTGCATCGGGTAAGCAGTGGTGGGGTGAAAATGCGTGTTGTATTATGTGTGTCCATCAGCGTTTCTAACAGGAAGTAGTACAATTAATACTTTTGCTCTACCTACAATCACGTGAGGCAAACAAACGTAACTACATTTTTAACTGTTACAATTTAATTAATAAGGCTTAAAAGTAAGCAGTATATAATTAAGGTAGACTATTTTAAAGTTGCAGTCTCTAACGCGCGTAAGGGCTAGAGGAACGTGTTTGTGCTACTATTTACGTGTTAGTGTAGCCTTAGAGCTTGCCCTATACTACAACAACCTTTTAGATAACCTTATTGTCGCAACCGCTGATCAGGGAGCAATGAGGAGCAAGTCTATTGACTATGA